TCTCCATATGAAAGAGTTGAGCACCATCCAGTTCTTGACATCTGATTGGCTATAAGATACAGAGATAGAATAAAGAAAGAAAATGTGAAGGGGATAGAAGGAGCAGGAAGTGTGTACTCACACTTCCTGACTTCAGTCTCCTGTGAGAGGGAGATTCAGGCTGCTTGTGTAAGCTGTGAGGTCCTAACACTAACATGAGACAGGACGGGCTCCTGCTCACCAACTTGTGAGTGAAGAAATGGCTTTTTAAAATGATGACTATAACCCACACAAATCTGGAGCAAGAAGGATGGTGGAGAGAAATCCTAGAGTTGGTTCAGGAAGGAAAGTGATGATGTAAAAAATATTTGCTCTGAGAATGTTTCATCAAGATCAGAACTCACAGAACAAATGGGTGGTAGGAGGTGATAATATCTACTATTTACTTCACAAAATAAATCTTCATTTTAGAAAAGAGCATCAGGTCTTTTCCCTGGGAAAAGATTTTCATAGTGCTAAAAATAAGGTAGGATCTATAATAAAGCAATGACAGAACTTTTACACAACCCAGTGTGTAAAAGCAAGCAAGGATTTTTATACACTTTTATTAAGATAATTTAGTCTTCAATGTTCAATTGAGATGCATGCCTTCTGCGATAATCACACAAACCGTGTTGACTCTACCAGTTATATTTGAAAGGCAAAATTCATTTTCTTTTAGGCAAAAGTCCTGTGGTGCCCACACCACCCACAAGGGGGCAGTGAAGCCCTAGATCTTGGGTTACAACAAAGACCTGGGATTTAGAATGTGTAGCCATTGGACAGAAGGCAAACCCTGCCACCCTCCCATCCCAGCTTCCCCCACTAGGGCAGAACAATGAGCTAGCTGAAGGTAGAGAGGCATATCTGAGGGCACTGGCCTGGCTGAATTCCAGGTCTCCCGAGCTCTTAGTCACACACACACACACACACACACACACACACACATTATGACCTGTTTAAATACAAAATGCATACATTTTAAGTCACCAGGTATGATTTTGGGCCAATGTACACTGAATCATAAATATACCTATTGCTTCAGGTTTCTTTTGTGAGACTACGGATACAGACATGCAGGGGTAAAGTGACCATGTTTTGCATGGGTTGTTAGACTGTGTCAGCTTGGAACAAATATTTAGGATTTAAAATCATGATGAAAAGTAAATCTTTAAAAGAAAATAAATTTAAAAGATTTGAGTTTTTCAGGGGGGTTTTCCCTTCATTTTTTGTATTGGTCTGGACTTCCAGATAATAGATAATAAAGGTGATTTTCCCCCCTTTTCTTCAGTGGTAGGGCTTGAACATGGGGCCTGAGCCCTGTCCCTGAGCGCTTTTGTTCAAAGCTAGCACTCTACCACTTTGAGCCACAGTGCTACTTCTGGTTTTCTGGTGATTAATTGGAGCTAAAAGTCTTACAGACTATCCTGCCCAGGTTCTGGTTTTGAACCCCGGTCCTCAGATCTCAGCCTCTTAAGTAGCTACAGGTAGGACCTGCCAGCACCTGACTAAAGGTGATTTTTCTAAGAGAAGGAAGTACAAGAAAGTCCCTGTGCCATTTGGATTGGCTGATGGAGTGTCCAGGGTGTTCAGGCCCAGATCTGGCCTACAAAGGCATGAATGGATCATACCCTCAATTTTGTACCATGGGAGAAGTCAGCCAGGAAGACCTCACACGTGGTTGTTTGCCGTACTAAGGGCAACAGTCTGTCTCCCAGTCTTCTGTCCACTTCCTGGTTTTCCTCAGTACCTGAGCCTATCATTGTGGGAATAATGTGACTTTCTTAGTCTCACTGTGTTAGATATGACCACATGACCAAATCATGACCAGTATGAAAGCAAAAGGCATGATCTTTAAAGGATCAGGGTATCCTTTCTCTTGCTTTTTCCCTTTATTCGTGGCTAGAAGTTGGTTGTGATGACTGGAGCGGGAACAGCCAGATGGGATGGTGAGTTTTAAAGATACATAATGAAAATAGTAAACAAGATTAAAAGAAAAAAAAACACCAAGTTTTTGGTTGTTATGGACCCACCAGGACTGCCTACTTAGGTTTCTGGCAAAAGAAATAAAAATTTGTATTTAATTCCTATAAATGTATTTCTAGATTTTTGGCTTTTTCAAAATTAACTTATCTTTAAGAAGGGTTTCAATTCAACATGTCAGTTTGTGCATGCAATGCTTCTTGATCAATGGTACCCTTTTCATTCATCATTTTGGTTTTCAATTACTTACAGCTGGTGCTAATTATATGCAATAGAGACATCTTGGGGGAAAAGCCAGAAGATAGACATCTTTTCATCTATTTTATCATTATTTCTTCATTGTCGTCACCCATCAATACATACAGAATGTTGTTTAAAGGCAGTGCACAGGGTTCTAATTTTAACGTGGTTTTTGGACAGGGCTTGGACTGGGCCATCATAAGCAAAGCTCCAATGTTAAAGAATCTTTTATGAAAATCACACAGCCACCATAGTATAAATGCAGGTAAGTTGGGTCATGGCCACTGCTCTTTCTAGATTCCCCTCCCTCCCCTCCGAACAAACAAGTTTATCCCAAATCTCTCCTTATAATTCAAACATTATAAAGCCCAAAATTGCCAGGTGCTATTGGCTCACACCTGTAATAATCCTAGCTACTCAGGAGGCTGAGATCTGAGGATTGCGGTTCAAAGCCAGCCTGGGCAGGAAAGTCCCAATGAGACTCTTATCTTCAATTAACCACCAGAAAACCAGAAGTGGCCCTGTGGCTCAGGTGGTAGAGTGCTCACCTTAAGCTAAAGAGCTCAGGGACAGCGCCCAGGTCCAGAATTCAAGCCCCACAACCAAATAAAGTCAAAAAATTTAGTTTGCCTCATTGGAGCCTGATGTCCGATGAATGGCTGCATTGGTGGCTCAGCACCTGCTTCCTCTGGAATGTTGTGAATAATGGCCCGTTTGGCTCTAGGATTAAGGACAAAGCAGGTCAATTGACAGATTCCCAGTCTAGATAAAAGGCTTCAGGCTGACATTCACCCATCTTAGACCTAGATTAGACAGGAGTATATCCACTGATCATTGGGGAACAGGGGGTGCTTTGGGTAGAGAACCTTGTCCTAACAGACCGAATCTCCATTTCGCTGTGCAGGTGGCAGGTGTGAAAAGGTGTGAGCTCATCACGGCCCCAAGGCCTCCAGGCTCTCAGGAGACAGCCTTAGACTCTGCCTCCCTGGGCCTCTCCTTGAAGGCAAAGCTGTGCAGATGCAGTCCTGGCGGTACTGAGGGGAGGGAAGCTGCACAACACAATGAAAGTGGCTACTACCTTCCAGGAATAGCTTTCTAGGTAAAAAGAACCAGTACGTATGTTTGAAATTTATGAAAGCCTGGATGAATTATCTCTACTGCCAACTTCTGTCTCTAATATTTGCCATCGTGTCATTATGTGTCCTGCACGCATGCCTGGACTAGATTCAAACTTCAATCCTCCCCTACTCAGCCTCCCAACTAGCTAGAATTACAGGCATGAGCTACCAGCACCTGGATCATACTTTCTTTCCTTTTATGAGTATAAAACTGTAATACAATCATCAAAAATTATAATAAAGGCCAGGTAGGAGATGTAACTCAGTAATAGCAATTTTGTGCAAGGCTGTGAGTTCCATCCCCAACACACACAAAAAAGTACTGTTTTCAATGAACATAAAAACAAACACTTAAGAAGAAAGCAGTGCATCCATTTCACTGGTGGCATTTTTCTTTCTCAATGATGTAAGAGAACTCTACAATTTGTGATATCTTACATTTAATGAGACACATGTATTTACTGTAATTGATTTAAACCGAGCTAATTAGACCACAAAATACAAATGTTCTCAGGTGTTCACTGGTTTCCTGTTTGTTTTTTCTTTGAATACTGGGGATAAAGCCTACAGAATAAGGTTTCATAGAGTTCAATTTCCTATTTACTTTCAAAACTATGCCCATAGCACTGTACTATAAGACATTTGGGGAACTACAAACTAATTTTCCAAACTTAATTGCCTGTTACACAAACTTTACATATGACACATGTTACTATGAGTGTTGGGGTACCTCTGAGCTGTAAAGTGGAGGTGTGACCAAGTCAGTACCCCCCAAAGACCAAGCAAAACATGTGAGGAACAGGAAAGAGCCAGAGAACCAAGAGGAACTTATTAAGCACTGACAGAGCAAAAGAGTGACGGTATGAACTTTATTATCATTGCTGAAAGAACCAGAGCTTCCACAGACTTCAAAACCATGTTTATTTATAAAATATACTTAAAAGGCTTGACCAAAAAAATAAGGCTTCAACCTCCTCAGTCTCCAATATTTCATCCTCATTCATCACAATTAACAATCAAGTCTTACTAACTCAGCTCCTGCGTTCTATGTACAAAAGAGTCTGTAATTACAGTATTTCATTTTATGAATCATACTGCTGAAAACAGTTATGTTTTGGTACTTGGTAAAATAATGTTCTGTACAGAAAGTTACTGGAATTCCTCAAAATGTACTGAGAAGGTTAATTCACAGTAGTGATTTTCTAAGGCAAACTATTTTAAATGAATGAAGTGACTCATCTCACAACATTGTAAACACTATAATGTAATACAAGTTTAAAGAGAAAATACAAAACTTTATAGAGATGGAGAAAACATTTATCTTTAAATATTAACAATTAACTTTGGTTTTCAGTTTTAATTTCATTTTTAAAATTTAATTCCAGAACTGTGTATGTGTGTGTGTGTGTGCACATTCATGCACACATGCAAGCACACATCACCCTGGTGCTTGAACTCAGGGCCTGGGCACTGTCCCTGAAATTTTTCACTCAAGGCTAGTGCTCTGCCACTTGAGCCATCGCGCCACTTCCAGCTTTTTGCTGGTTAGAGATGAGAGTCTCACAGACTTTCTGGCCCAGGCTGGCTTCAAACTCAATCCTCATTGTACCTCAGTTTCCTGTAATCCTCAGCTAGGATTACAGACATGAACCACTAGCACCTGGCAACATTTATTTTTAATTAATGATTATTTTTTAAGATGGGGTCCTCTAAATGTTGTCCAGGTTGACTCAGAATTCATGGACTCGGGTAATCCTTCTGCCTCAGCTTCCTAAGTAGCAGGGACTACAGATGTGCACCACCACCCTGGCTTCTGACTATGTATTAGAAATAGATGAGGGAGAAACAGAACTGATCCAGAGATATGTGGTCCCAAGTGCAGCAGCAAGTAAGTGTCTAGTCAGGTCACTGGTTGCACCTAGAGAGAGGCTAGAGGTTGGTGCCTGTGGCCTTCATCCATCAGCCAAATCTGATTGTTTGAGGGTCAGAGTACCCCAGGACACATCTGCAGTTCTTCAGTGTCTCTCTAGGAATCTCCAAGTCCATAGTCTTCAGGTCAGATTGTCTGGAGCTTTGTAACAATCAGTACTCTCACCATCTGGTCAAATGAACTACAGATGCAGAGCCCCCTTTTGTCTGGACTCCAGTCCACACTGGAAATGGGCTGGGTGGACAGTGTCACATTCTGCAGAAGACTGACAGAACCCATGACTCCCATCTCCATGCCCTCGGAATCTTTCTTGGAGCGCTGCATGGGGTATTCACTGAAAGCCAGATCACAGGGGGAAGGGGAGAGAAGGCTTAGCATTTGCCATTTTATTTTTACCCATAAACTTCACTGACACGGGTTTTCTTTCTCACTTGATTTATAGAGCAGTTACTTCAAGAATCTTCACAATGTTGAGCTGCACATGAGTAGAGACACTACTCACCTTGTCCCTATTCCCCAAACATCGTATAACAGGTTTATTCCTTTCACCAATATTAGAGTTCCATTTATTTAAAGTGAAACAATTTTAAACTTTCTCCACTAATCAACTATCAGGACACTGCAAAAAGATGTTCATCCTTTTCATAAAACCCTGTGTATATACAGATATATGCATTTATATGTATATATACACACATGTGTATATGGACATGTAGATCATCTACACTTCTATATAAATACAATCCTGAGATATCCATACTAAAAAAGAGGGAGAATTCAATGAGGACATATTTTTCTAAAGGAAAAAAAAACAAATATAACTGTTGTAGCATAAAGGCAATACTTACCGGGTAGTATGAACTAGGACTGTGACAATTCAATGAATGTGTGTGTGTGTGTGTGTACATGCGCGTGCACAAGTGCACTTTGTAGCACTTATGACAGAGATGGCCCTATGCCTAACTGCCAGCTAAACTTGTCCAACTGAAGTTCCTGAATTTAAGCCCTGATACCAGCAAAAAAAACAAAACAAAACAAAACTAAAACTCCTTGATTATGGATGCATGTGCACATGTATATGTGTGGATGAGTGGTGTTTAGAGGAAAATTTATTTTTTCCCCTCCAAACAGATAGAGACAGATACAAAATGCACCTCCAAGTGTGTGTGTTATGTGTATATATATATATATTATATATACATATATTTTATACACACACATACAAAGAAAACATAATGAACCCCATGAAATTGTGTTTGAAAAGAGGGGAGTTAAGGGAATGTAATATATATAGAAGCCATAAACATGTTCAGAATACACTGTACACATGTATGGGGATGTTCACACTGAAACCCCCAAGTACTGTTAATAAAAACTTCTTGGTCCTGGTTGGTACCAGTGACTCACACCTGTAATCTTAGCTATTCAGGAGCTGAGATCTGAGGATCATGGTTTGAAGACAACTCAGGCAGGAATGTCCATGAGACTCTTATCTCCCAAAAACTACTCAGAAAAAGCTGAAAGTGGCACTGTGGCTCAAGTAGAGTGCTATCCTTGAGCCAAAGAAACTCAGGAACAGTACCCAGGCCCTTAGTTCAAGTCCCAGGATTGGCACAAAAACAAAACAAAGAAAAACCCCATATTGGAACAACAACAACAACAAAAATCAGTCTCTTTCCAATGGCTTTATCCTTTAGCAGAAATATCTACACATCTCTTATAAACAAAGCAAAACAAAGTCTTAGTGTCTCTCTACTGCTTTCCCTAGGCTCTGTGATCACTTTTCTGTAACTTCACAGAAAGTGCATGGTGCCACATGGCCACCCAATTCCCAGGCCAAGAAATACTTCGTACTCTTATGAGAACGTATAGGCTCGGTAGCCCTGCTAACCTTGTCCCGCTGAAGGTTCAAACTCTGATACAAACACACATACACACACACAAAAAAACTAAACCAAACAAATTCAGTTATGGATGTGTATGTGTGTATATACTCATACATACATGTATGTGCTTACGTGGTGTTTTGAGAAAGATTTTATTTTTTTCTTACTTTGCTAGTAAGGAATTCAGAAACATCACTCACTCCCAATTTGTATCAGATGTTTAAACAGTGACTAGTGACATCTCTCACAGTACCTCATTGGACCTAGGTACACAGAAGGCAAACTCAATAGTTCTTGGATATTGTTATAAGAAATGTACCCTGATGACTATAATGTGTTAACACTTAGATCTAGCTAGTGGTGCTGTTTTGGGAAGCGTCTAGAAAGTTTAGCAGGTGGACCTAGGGTGACCGGGGTTAGGTTTTGAAGGTTTGTGTCCAGGTCTCTTCCCCTTTCTGCCGTGAGAAAACACTTCTCTGCCACGGGCTCCCATCACCATACCATGTTTGACCAAGGCATGAGGTCAAGTGACCATGGATTCAAGTCTTTGAAACCATGAGCCAAATGAATCCTGCCTTAAATTCTGCAGGTGTTTTGTCACAGCTATGCAAAAGTAACTAACACAAAAACCAATCAGTAGCCTTGGGCTGTTTTTGGTTCTATTGCAATGGTATCTTATGAATTTAGGCAACTGAATTAGCAGGATCTAAAATAAAAAATTCCAGTCTTTTTTCTACCTTCCAGAGGTAGGCAGAAGACTCAGGCCAAATATTTCACTTTATTTTTCAAATATTGGCACTAGGCACTGGTGGCTCAACACCTATAATTCTAACTACTTAGGAGGCTGAGATCAGAGAATATTGGTTTGAAACCAGCCTGGGCAGGGAAACAAAATTATCTTCTTATCTCCAATTAATCAGCAAAAAAGTATAAATGGAGGTGTGGCTTAAGTGGTAGAACACCAGCCACGAGTGAAAAGGTTGAGTAAGAGACCCTGAATTCAAGCTCTGCATTAAAAAAAAAAAAAGTGTGCAAAAATTAGGAAAAAGTTCCTAAGCTCTTTTGATATATGGAAGATACAACTACAATGACAACTATAATGTGCCAAAAGAAAGCTAACATGTTAATCATAAAGTGCATTAAAAAAGATGCTTAGAAAACAACAGTTATGTAACATCATGAAAGTTTCAATCATACCCAAATGAACCAATAAGTCAACGGAGGAAAACAGACAAAAAAGTTCAATCTAATCCTACTTTACACCCACAAGTACTTAAAAAGAAGCAGAGCACACTGGCGGGGACTTACTACTTCCAGAGGTGAAGGCTGCCAGCGCCTCCAGCTGTCAGAAAGAGCTCTCTGTTCTGGGGCAGGTGCCGGACCTGCCAGAGGGTAGATTTATGAGCCTAGACAGGACAAGAGACACATTGTGATTTACATGTAAAAGAGAAGAGAAACCTCACAAACAAAGTGTTTTACTCAGTAACTCCAGTGGTTGGGAAAAGAATGAAGGTTTTTTCTAACACATCTCTTCTTGAGGCCAACAGAAACTTACAAGAGCCCATCAGAAATTAGGAAAAGCATTATTTTCTTCATCACTCTATGACCAAAATTCTACTGGATTAAAAAGTTTATAATACCATATAAATTATGAGACTAGATTTTACATATTAAACATCTCCAGTTCATTCTAAGGAGAAAAGCACCCCAAATACAAAAATATAATAATACTTCTCCCTTAGTGAAAGAAAAGTATAGACTGATTTTCTTCTTAACACTAGTTTTTATAGTAGTCTTGGGTTCCCTGGAAAACTGAGTGGCCAATATAAAATTCCCCTTTATACATTAGTTTTCAGTCGATTGCATTTAACTTGTCCAGTCTTCAAAATAAGGACCATAGATTTACAATGTTCATAGTCACATAAGTGTGTGTGTGTATATATATATATATATATATATATATATATATATATATATTTATATTACTACTGTGTATTAAGCACAGTAACTGATGCTTTAAATAATTTCACTTAATATAGAAAACTAGAATACAAAATAATACACAGAAATGACATAATTGATGTATATTAATACATTTTGGTTTTTATTTTTTATTTATTTTTGGTTGGTCATGGGGCTTGAACTCTGGGCTTTGGCGCTGTCCCTCAGCTCTTCAGCTCAAGGCGAGCGCTCTACCACTTGAGCTACAGCGCCACTTCCAGTTTTCTGGTGGTTTATTGGAGATAAGAGTCTCAGGGACTTTCCTGCCCGGGCTGGTTTTGAACTTTGATCCGCAGATCTCAGCCTCCTGAGTAGCTAGGACTATAGGTGTGAGCCACCAGCACCCAGCTTAATACATTTTGAAAAGTGTATCAACTGCTTATTAACATGAACATTATATATTTGTTAGAAAATGCCAGGATAGGTTTCTGTTAATCAAATTCTTAGTACCAGCTAGGTTTCTTGTGACTGTCCCTATACTACAAAATTAAGATTCCTAGCCAACTAAGATCGTTATTATAAGCAAGAAGTTTCCAGTTGGTTAACTTTGGGAATTACTGTTATCATAAAAAACTTGTGAAGTAAAGATAAGCATTCAAGTATGACAATATACTATCTGTGTTTTCACCATTCAAAGTGCTGTTTAGTAGTTGAAACTTAAACTATTTAATGTCATTTAATAAAGTGACCAAAATGTGTTGTGCTCTTTAAAAAAAAAACTTAGGAAGATCTCACAAGAATATAATAAAAAAAATAGCTCCTTTCACATGAAGACCTGGAGGAAACCTGGTGATTGACTGAATTTATTAGTCTGAAACAAGCAATCATTCCTCGCCATGGAAGCCATCTTCTTCATACCTTTTCTGAAACAGAGGCAAAACCCTTGGTTGGATGCTGGGTTCGCATATCAAAGACATGGAATTTTCCTTCCAGAGATGTAGCCACTAACTTATTCATACTTATGTCTTTTCGGTCAAACTCCAAGCTACATACCTGAAAGCAGAGAATACTTATTACTGATAATCTCACCATTACTAAAGAGGGTCATTTAAACTTGGTAAAATGGCATTTAAACTTGGTAAAATGGCTTTTAAACAGTCACTTTTTTCAATCAAAACACTATTATTACTATGATCAACCAAACCATTGTGGGCTTGCATGTTCAGTGAACATATCTCAGAAGCCAGCATGTAACTTCACATCATTTAGCTGTCAAGGCCGCCCCCAGAAAACAGGAGGGAATCACATTCTGCAGTACAGGTGCGCACTCAGGAACCAAAAACACAAAGAGAGTTGGAGAAACTCTCAGATGGAGAAGTTGTTATAACTTCAGGCAAAAAAGAAGCCTCTCCTTTGTTTTTCTTGATATCACACTGTATAACCTGCAAGATTCACAGATAGGCGCAGGTCCACTGACTCCTTTGACGTTGAACAAACCATAGAGGAGTACATGTCTACTTTCTGAAGAAAGCAAGCAGGGTTTTCATTGGATTCCCAAGGAGGTAAGACTCCAAGGGTCGATGAAAGGTGGTACATGCCTGTAATTTCAGCTGCTTGAGAGGCAGACAGGAAGATTACAGTTTGAGCAAGCCCAGTCAAAAGTTAATGAAATTCTATCTCAAAAACAAGCCAGGCATGGTGGCACATGCCTGTCATCCCAGCTACTAGGGAGACAGAAATAGAAGGATCATAGTCCAAAAGGCAACAGGAGTGGAGCAAGCCTCAACTGGAAACGGTAGAGCACCTGCCTAGCAAGAATGAAGTCCTGAGTTCAACTCCTAGTACTAGACAACAAAACAAAGCAAGGCAAAACATCAGTAAAAGGCTGACCGAAATAAGAGGTGCCCCCAGAACTTAGTAGTGGTTCAAGGGGGACAAAAACAAGTTCAGAGTAAATGAATTGCATCAGACAACACATTACCCCATTTTTTATGTTTGTCTCCCACCGCAGTGACATATTTCTGAGATCAAACAGTTTGATATCTCCATTATCATAGCCAGCGCAAACAACACGTTCCTCTTGATTATAAGCATTGCCTGCAAGTCAAGATACAATATTTCAGGTTTTTACCAATTTGAAGGCTGCTAAAAAAATGTTATAAAACTATATCTGACTTAGAAAAACCACATTGAGGCCAGATGCTGTTGGCTCATATCTGTAATCCTAGCTACTCAGAAAACTAAGATCTGAGGGTTGCAATTCAAAGCCAGCCCAAACAGGAAAGAAAGTCTGAGAGATTTATCTCCAATTAATCACTAAACTACCTGAAGTAGAGCAAAATAAAACTAAAAACTAAAAAACCAGCTAACAGATAGCTAAGGCCCTGAGTTCAAGCCCCAGAACTAGCACAAAACAAAACAAAACCTCATGGTAGGTAGAATTCCCTTTTATCAATCCTGACAAGATGCCAAGATAATTAAATTGGCATTTAATTTTTTAAAACCAAGTTAATTACTTGAAATTCAATACAGAGGGTTACTTGAAAGTGTTCATAGGATTTGAAGTTGAAAGACAATGCTTTCTCTATACAAAGACTGCAAAGGCTACAGATCACCTATTGTTCAACTATCACCTCTATGTTTCTATTTCTTTTCTTTTACTGTTTCAATACAAACAGAAACTAAGCCTACTTATTTGGCAAAAAAAAAAAAAATGTTCTGGTATTCTTCTGTCTTTACAAGGAAAGCTTCAATGAGGTGGAGCATGTTGTAACTAGTGTTAGTGTGGATGATCACATCCAAAGTTTATATTCTGTAATTAAATCCATCGGGCTTAGATCCAGGATCATCTTTCTTAAGGACCTCATGCTCAGGAAAGTGTGTGAAGGGAGGGAGAAGCTGGTCACTGTGCTAGCTATCTAGGTATCTTATCACACACAATGTCTGGCCTTTTCCTCTCAGCCTCCAACTAGATGATGGTACAGCAGCATCTTAACTTTGTGATGGTCTAAACTGTCTCTGTCAACTTCCTTTAAAGGCATCCCACCTTTTGTGAGCTTTTCATTTATTTTGCTGTGTGTGTGTGCGTGTGTGCGCACACACGCACGCACGCCTGCCAGTAATGGGTCTTGAACTAAGGGCCTGAGCTCTGTCCTTGAGCTTTTTTCACTCAAGGCTGGTATTCTACCACTTGAGCCCCACCTCCATTTCTGGCTTTTTGATGTTTTGTTTTGTTTTCTGGTTAACTAGATCAAAGTCTCACAGACTTCCCTGCCCTGGCTGACTTCAAACCAAGATACTCAGATCTCAGCCTCCTGAGCAGCTAGGATTACAGACTTGAGACAATGGCACTCGGCTAAGTTTCTGGATTAACAACACTTTTCACCTCGCGATGATTGTCAGAAATTCAGCTGCCATGGACAGAAATCCCAAAGTCTGACAAGTTCTACTTACTCTGCTATAATGTCATCTTGCTCATGTCGTGTAACTACTCTTCCCTGGAATATTGCCAAGAGTGCAACCTCACAGCTCCTGACTACTCATTTCTCCTCTCCACACTTCACCAGTAAAGTTCTTAAAGGTACAGGATCAAATCCCTCATGCAAATGCCTTCAGAAGTTTACCTCCAGACCATTCAAAGACTCCTGGCCATGATCCAGGGCCATCTCTAAGGTTACTCCTACCACTATTCCTTTCTAGATATTTTGGGGCAGTTTCAAGTTACTCCCTTATGTTTGATATTTCCCTTCAACACCTGAGGTGGAAATCCAATGAGGCATCGATCCCTCTGGATTCTTTTGGATCTCTCTACGCCTCATGGAACTTTTGTTGTTCTTGTTGCTAGTCCCAGGGTTTGAACTCAGGGCCTGGCCAGTGACCCTGAGCTTTTGCTCAAGGCTAGCACTCTACTACTTGAGCCACAGCACCACTTCCAGCTTTCTGTGCATGTAGACGGAGGAACCGAACCCAGGGCTTCGTGCATGCAAGGTGAGGACTCTACCACTGAGCCATACTCCCAGCCCATCATGGAACTCTTTATTCCTCATACTGTAATTAATACGGGCCTCTTGCTCTCTTTACTAAACTATCTATGGTTATTACCATCTCAATTTGTAAAGAATCATTCCAAATACTGATCCTGAAATTTCTGCCCCAAACACATGCAAGTTCATATTATTGATCATAGTATATAAGCACAAAGTAATTCCCATCTGAAAGAAAGAAATTGGAAATAGAAACACTTTCTCTGATTAAATATCAGTCCTAGGTGGGCCTGGTGATGTACACTTGTAATCCCATCCACTCAAGAGGTTTAGGCACCTCGTTCCAAGACAGCCTAGGCAATTATCAAGACCCTGCCTCAAAATCTTAAAAGAAAATAAAAGGTCCTCTTATTTTTCATTTGCATTGATTAGTTATGCAAGGGGGAAACTTAAAAAGAATTGGGGGAATGTAGCTCAGTGCACATGTGTGAGGCCCACAGTACCACTAAGTAAATAAATAATTGTCCAATTTTTGAAAACACATAGTAAACAGTTTACAATGTTAATTCACTTTTCATTCTTATTAACTCAGTAGAAGTATACTGAGTAAAAGCAGAACAAAGAGAGAGGTTGAAAGCCAAATATGGAGCCAGAGGTAGTGGTGCATGTCTATAATCCAGGTATTCAGGAGGCTGAGGCAGAAGGAGTGAAATGTTCAAGGCCAGTTTGGGCTACATATTAACACCTTGTCTCCAAAAACAAAACAAAACAAAAACTAAATATGGTCCATTTCCATTAGCAGCAAAATTATTTTTTGTACTCAAACAATTTTAAGGGCTGGGAAGGTGGCTCAGTGGTAGAGTGCTTGCCTTGCATGCATGAGGCCCTGGGTTCAATTCCTCAGCACCACATAAGCACAAAAAGCCAGAAGTGGCACTGTGGCTCCAGTGGGTAGAGCGCTTGCCTTGAGCTGAGGAGCTCAGGGACAGCACCCAGGCTCAGAGTTCAAGCCCCACAACTCTCTCTCTCTCTCTCTTTCTCACTCTCTCTCTCTCTCTCTCTCTCACACACACACACACACACACACACACATACACGGAAAAGAAAACAAAACAAAACAATGGTAGCCGGGCACCAGGGGCTCATGCCTGTAATCCTAGCTACTCAGGAGGCTGAAATCTGAGGATCATAGTTGAAAGCCAGCCAGAGCAGGAAAGTCTGAGACTCTTATCTCCAATATACAACCAGAAAACTGGAAGTGGCGCTGTGGCTCAAGTGGTAGAGCTCTCACCTTGAGCTGAAGAGCTGAGGCCAGCGCCCAGGCCCAGAGTTCAAGCCCCACAACCAACCAAAAAAAAAAGAATGGGCTGTGTGTGTATGTGGGGGGGGAGGGTAATCTTCAAATACTTTGTTTTTTTTCATCTGAACTCCAAATACCAGCATTCCCCTAGAGTTTACCAAATGCCACAGTCCAACAGTCTCTCTTGTTTTCTCCTTGCACAGGTTCCATATTAGCAACAGGGTCATCTTTTTGCCGTGGGTCCCACACCTTCACAGTTCCTGCCAGGAATAAAAGTGACCAATCACAAGGCTTTCTGTACACATGGCAATATTACAGATGTTAAGGCATTTGAAAATACTCACATTTACCTGATTTCTAATTGGTTAATTTTATTTGATATCAGAGATACAAGCCCATATGTTACTATTTAACATGATTTTGTAACAAATACACAGAAAAGCCAACAACTGTTCCTAAGTTTTCCACACGTTATGACTCACAGGGCAAACACAAGTTTGTGCAGTCAGACCATGCCTTGTTTTCTTTGTTTGATGTAAAATTAATGTATTATTTACTTAGAATACCAGCATTGTTTTGATTTTTGTTTTTCCCTTATATAACCCTTAGCATTTTTCTTATACAGAAGAAAAGCTCTAATTTTTACATCTGCAGTTTTTTACATGGGGTTTTTAGGAATACTATTTTCATACAATTAAGTTTAATTTCCCTTAGGCAGCCATAAGGAGGGAAATGTTAAACAAAATTAACAAATATTTCTTCTCAATTTAATTTCAACCCCCTCCTGTTAAGTCATATTACAAGACTTTACTAAGTATTGGCACTGACTACAAGAAATGCAAATATATATCATTATATGGCTAAAAGGTAATTATAAGTATCTGAGAGAGAATAGAAAAAGAAAAATGTTAAAGGCAGCAATAAACTTGGAAAAGGGAGAGATATCTCACTATATTTATCTCCAAGGATAAAGATGCTCATTATAAGGGCTCCTATAAGGAGAAAAACATTTCTCAAAAACATGAGATTATTATCTAACCCTACACCATTTACACAAATTGGTAAGATTTGTGGTAACTTTCTAACAGTTAAATTAGCAAAGAACATTAAAAGATAACTCATAAAACAAAATGAATTAGTAAGTAAATACAGAAAGACACTAACACAAGTTGGAATGGAATACTATTTTTTTGGGGGGGTCCGGTTTTGGGGCCTGAACTCTGGGCCTGGGCGCTGTCCCTCAGCTCTTCAGCTCAAGACTAGCACTCTACCACTTGAGCCCCAGTGCCACTTTCGGCTTTTTTTTTTTTTCTGCTTATGTGGTGCTGAGGAATCAAACCCAGGGCCTCATGCAAGCGCTCTACCACTGAGCCACCATCCCAGCCCCTGGAGTACTATTTTTAATTTATAAAATTAGAGTGAAAAAGTGGAGCTATGAATCAAGCAAAACAGGTAAGGGCCAGCACTCAGGCCCTGAGTTCAAGCCCAGAACCTACAATCAATCAATCAATAAACAAATAAATAAAATCAGACAGAAAAAAAAATGTCATTAGAATAGGCTAGAAACCCATGTCGTCCACATTATAAACGTATTTCATAAACTTTGGGAATAAAATTTAGAAATCACAAAATATGTTTATTCTTAGTCTATTATTAAAAAAAAAAAAACACTTTTATTCTTTTGTATGTGCTTGTTCTAGTGCTTGAACTCAGGGCCTAAGCACTGTCCCTGAGGTTTTCTTTCTCAAGGCTAGCACTCTACCACTTAAGCCACAACTGCTCTTCTGGCTTTTTGGTAGTTTATTGGAGATAAGTCTCACAGTTTCCTGCCTAAGCTGAGTTCCAACTGAAGTCTTCAGATCTCAGCCTAAAAATGTTTATTCTTCTCATGCTAATAATCATTAATTATTTTCAGTTACTCTCCTAACAATAAAAACCAAAACTCCTAATAGCATATTGAATGTTAATTAATAGACGCACAGTTAAGTACCCTATGGTAGAGTCATACAACAGCAAAACAGTCATTGAAATAATAATTATGAGAACATTAACATTTGCATTGACAAATCTTACATGAACTAAGTAACATATCTAATTTTATTCACGTTAGAATATATAAATTATAGATAAAACTTGAAAGGGAAAGAAAACCTAATGGTTTAATATGGTAGACTGAAGGCTATTTTACCTTGTATGTTCTATATTGCTCTGAGTAAAAACAATTGATTTCTAAAACACAGCTGCTCTTGAGTAACTATTGGAAAGTTCTAACTCTTTTCTACCAATCTCCATTCCTTCATGAATCAACAAACACTGACTCCAAGACAGATATTCAAAACAGCTTTCTTTGGACCTGCTCCCTATAGACCACCCCAGGATAAAAGCTAGGAGACATTAGAGCTTTCAGAAGTACTCAGTGGATGGATTACAGAACTGGCTGTCAATGACAAGTTTCACCAGTACTAATTCTGCTTTTATTAAAAAATAAAATGGAATGCTGCCACCCACATTATGTCGTCAGCTGCCTCAAAAACCTGCAAAGACATTTTAAATCTTTCAAGGTTTAAAGGAAACTATCATTGTCAGTCATTGAACTTACACAACATGAAAATAGTAAGTGCTATTGCCTCAATGTTAAAATACCTGAAGTCTGCAATATGGGGAACACGCAATCAAACTTGCCCATTAAAATGTAGACACACGCTTGCTGGGAGTTGGAGGGTCAGGTGGACTGAAGAGGGTTTTCATGAGGATGTACTGCTGCATAGACTTTCATTTGAGAGTTTTTTGAGAAACAGACTAGCTGACTCACCATCTCGACTACCAGTCACAATTTCAGGTGCTCCTTCCCCAATTCCAAGTCCACCAACACCGTCTATCGTGTTCACAATTTCTTTGTGAGCCTTTACAGAATACACTGGCATCTCCGGAGCTTCCAAATTCCTAAACAGAAAACACAGTCTACTTATACCACATGCCCAAACAGCTTAATCCAGAACTAAACTTTAAGACTATGTAGGGAGGTCTAGATGGTTCATGCCTTCCAGTAATCCTGTCTCCTTTGAAGTCTGAGAACCAAAGGACTGAAGTTCAAGGCCAGTGCTGACAGCCAAGTCCAAGAGTCCCCTCTCAGTAAGAAGAAGCTGATTATGTTAGAGTGTGCCTATAATCCCAGCTCTGACAGACACTGTAGAATAGGCAGTGTGGTCCAGGCATGTAAGCAAGACACTATCTCAAAAATAACTAGTGCAAATAGGGCTGAAAATGTGGCTTAACAGTTTAGTGCCTACTTAGCAAATGTGAGACATTGAGGTCAAACCTCGTTACACAAAAAATTATACACATATAAATTCAATATGTAAATATTTGTTTATATAAAACATTACATTGCCTTACTGTGTATAAGTTTCAGTTTTTGATAAATATATACTTAAATTTTTGCTTACAAATGAGTTTTACGATGAAGATACTTTATATGTTTACTTCTGAATTTTCCTCTCTACATGTTCTTCCAAGCCCCCAGTAAGAATTGTTATTATTCAACTTGGAATTTGCATTCCTGTGCCTACTTAGTGTTCTTTAAAGTTGGTCTATCTAGGTGGACTTATTAATAAATGCAGATTCAGCTGGTGCTGAATTATAGGCTCACACCTGTAATCCTAGCTAATCAGTAGGCTGAGATCTGAGGATCAAGGTTCTAAGCCAGCTCAGGCAGGACAGTCCACGAGACTTTTCTCTCTAATAAACTGCTCAGAAAAAGCCAGAAGTGGTGCTGTGGCTCAAGTGGTAGAGCACTAGCCTTGAGCATAAAGAGCTCAGGGACAGCGCCCAGTCCCTGAGTTTAAGCCCCAGCATCAGCAAAACCAGCAAAAAAAAATTAAAAGCTCAAGTACAGCACTCAGGCCTTGAGTCAAGCCCCAGGACCAGCTCATAAATTAATTAATAATTGTAGATTTGTGGGCTGCTCCTCAGATATTATAAATCACAATCTCTGGGTGGGCCCCCTATGCTGACCACTGGTACACTGCAGTCTAATTGTCACAGTTTTAAATGCAGAGTAAATTCGAAGTGATTCAGAATGTTTCCAAAGCAGGCCTTGGAAGTCTGATGTTTAGACCCTATTGAAGGATAAAATATGACTTTTTTAAATTCATTTTTCTTCATAATGTATTATTCTCACCTAGTGACAATTTTTTTATTTTATTTTTTATTTATTTATTTTTTTTGGTCCGGTTGTGGGGCCTGAACTCTGGGTCTGGGCACTGTCCCTCAGCTCTTCAGCTCAAGGCTAGTGCTCTACCACTTGAGCCACAGCGCCACTTCCGGCCTTGTTTTTTTCTGCTTATGTGGTGCTGAGGAATCAAACCCAGGACCTCATGCATACAAGGCAAGTGCCCTACCATTAAGCCACCTTCCCAGCCCTATTTTCTTTTTTAAAAATAAGTACCTAGTGACAATATTTTTACTTATCTCCTCGTCTTGGTCATAATGAGCAACCCAGCCAGTGCTGCTAAAGGCCATCTAACTCAAGATCAGTTCAGATAAAGACATGGAGGAAAGTGCTGTATTGCTGGGCTAGGTGGCTGGGTATTGAATGGCTGGACCAAGCCAGCTCCTTTTACTGTCTCCTTGCCTTCTTCTACTGTCTTCCTTTTTTCCACCCTTACTTTTCTATGGACTAATGCAGTTTTCAAATAGCTTTTCTTCCATGACTATGACTATTAGTAAAATATAATCTCAACTTATTATTAAGGCAAAATTTACTGATAAAATATCACTAACCAAAACCTTGAGCTAGGGAAGCACAAGTGGCTCTTGCCTTTAATCCCAGCTACTCAAGAGGCAGAAATCTAAGGATCATGGTTTTAAGCCAGCCCCCACAGAAAAGTCAGTCAGACTCTTATCTCTAATTAACCAGCAAAAAGCCAGACATGAAGCTGTAGCTCCAGTGTTAGACATTAGACTTGTGAGAAAAAGCTCAGAGACATAACCCAAGGCTTGAGTTCAAGCCCTAATACTGGCACAGATTAATTTTAAAACAAAACAAAACAAAAAACCTGAGCTAGCTCAAACTAGGTTAGAGATTGTTTATCTCTGTACCATCCTTACGAAAGAATAAAGAGATTAAATAGGTTTAGGTACTAGAAGCTCACACCTATATCCTAGCTACTCAACTAGATTTGAGGATTGAGGGCCAAAGCCTGCTAGGGCAGACAAATCCGAAAGACTTTTTTTTTAATTCTAGTCCTGGGGCTTGAACTCTGGGCTTGGGCACTCTTCAGCGCAAGGAGAGCGCTCTGCCACTTCCGGTTTTCTGGTGGTTTATTGGAGATAAGAGTCTCACAGACTTTCCTGTCAAAGGCTGGCTTTGAATGATGATCCTCAGATCCTCAGATCTCAGTCTCCGGAGTAGCTAGGATTACAGGCATGAGCCACCGGCGCCCAGCTCCCTGAGCTTCTTTTACTCAAGGCTAGTGTTGTACCACTTGAACCATAGCACCACTTTTAGCTTTTTTTGAATAGTTTTATTCAAGGTAAGAGTCTCATGGACTTTCCTGCCCAGGCTGGCTTCAAACTGCAATCCTCAGCCTCCTGGATAGCGAGGATTACAGGCAAGAGCTATTGGCATCCACTTCTAAGAGACTTTTATCTCCAAGCAACCAACAAAAAGCCACAACTGAAGGTGTGCCTCAAATGGTAGAATGCCAGCATGACTGAAAAAGTAGAGTACGAAACCCAGTACTAACTACCCCCCTGCAAAAGAGATGAAACAGGACTGTGATGATACTTAAGAGAAATATTTTACTATTTATACATTTTTGCAGTATTGAGAATTGAATCCAAGACCTCATACATACTAAGGATCTAAGCACTCTGCTAAGGATCTACAGTCACTTGGTAATATCTATAAAGAAGATTGTCAACAGTTATATTTATTACATAGTCTTACGTTGAGTGTAATTTAAAGAAATTTAAGAAAAAGAAATATCACACTGATCTTTCTCCCAATTTCTATGAAAGTATATGAACTAGTATGCGAGTTGTGATAAAAACTAATTTAATTAGGGGCTGGGAAGGTGGCTCAGTGGTAGAGCACTTGCCTTGCATGCTCGAGGCCCTGGGTTCGATTCCTCAGCACCACATAAGAAAAAAGCCAGAAGTGGCGCTGTGGCTCAAATGGTAGAGTGCTAGCCTTGAGCTGAAGAGCTGAGGGACAGCGCCCAGGCCCAGAGTTCAGGCCTCACAACCGGACCCAAAAAAAAAAAAAAAAAAACCTAATTTAATTATTAAGCAGCTAAAACAAAGGGAATATAAACTTACTTCATCCAGTTTTACATTATGATTCTAAGACATGACAGTAATTTAATTATAAAGTAGCACATTCTAAGTGAGAATCCAGGAAGGCATATTAGAAAACATGACATGGGGAATATAGTTTCTTTCTAAACATTAGTGTATATATTAAATGGTTGTATTACTTTCTTGAGAGGTAATTAAAACAGACTTTCAATTCAGTCAATTCTATAAAGAAATAACTTTAAGACAGACATGAAAATTAAAGGCACTTGGCACAATTGTGACTTTGATCATTCCAAATAATTTTATTCTTGATTTGTTCAACAGATGTGTTTCTAAAACATTATGCCTAGAGGTTAAAACATTTAAAAAGCAAACTTTTTCGGCAGTCTATAATGCCAAATCTCTTGCCAAAATGTAAATAAACATAGTATCAGAATTTCTATGTCATATACGAGGTTTTGTATATTGTATCTTTTGTGTGAGGGAGTATGAGTATGTGGGAGTGTACAAGAGAAAGAGAGAGCCCAATTATTAGAGCTTGAACTCAGGACCTCCTGTTTTCACTTTGTATTGTCTGTTCAACCTTGGCTCTTAATCACTTGACCCACATCTCCACTTCCAGCTTTTTGCTGGTTAATTGGAGATAAAGAGTCTCGTGGAATTTTCTGCCCAGGCTGGTTTTGAACCATGATCCTCATATCTCAGCCTCCTGAGTAGCTGGGATAATAGGTGTGAGCAGCCAATATATGGCCCTGTATATTGTATTTTTAACAGTAGAGAGCAGAAGTTTATTTGCAGATTTAGGGCCTTAAATACTAGCATCAAAAAGTATGTGAGGAAATAAATACTGACAATATAATTTGAAATATCCAGGAAAATACTATTATAAAGTGGATTTTAAAAGATGAAATCCAGCCGGGTGCTGGTGACTCACTCTTATAATCCTAGCTACTCAGGAGGCTGAAATCTGAGGATTGTGGTTCAAAGCCAGCCTGGGCAGGAAGCTCTGTGAGACTCTTATCTCCAATAAAGCATCAGAAAAGCGGCACTGTGGCTCAAGTGGTAGAGTGCCAGCCTTGAGCTAGCACCCAGGCCCAGAGTTCAAGCCCTACAACAGAACAAAAAAAACAAAAAAAAAAAAAAGATGAAATCTAGAAATATATATTAAAATACAGTCTCCATACTTTTATAGTTAATATTGAATGAGGAAAAAATTTTAATTAGAATTCTTTCAAAGGAAGAATAATAAAACTATCAAAAAAAAGTGCTTGTGTTATCTGTCAGGACGCTGATTAGACAATCTTACCATATATGAAGGTTTCCAGCAAAATCTCCAGTAGCTAAATATCTCTGCTGCAAAGATGTTGCACCAAATGTTCCACATTTAATGGCTTTGGCCTTTTCAATCTTGATAGAGGGGGGAAAAAAAGAGTACACATTAGTTAAGCAGTTATTTATAAGCCACAATATTTATGACTCTGCTATGGGATTTGAAAAATTACATAATATAAAAAGCAATTAAAATATTTCCTGATTTCAAAAAAAATGTCATACTCTTTCCTTAGTTGTTTTCCCCAAATTTAAAAGTATTTAACTGTGGCTGGGTGCCAGCGTGGCTCATGCTGGTAGTACTAACTTTTTAACAGGTTGAAATCTGAGGGTTATACCTGGGCAGGAAAGCCCATGAGACAATCATCTCCAATTAACCACCAAAAAGCCACTAGCCTACCCTTGAGCAAAAAAGCTCAGGGACAGTGCCTAGGCCCTGAGTTCAAGCCCCAGGACTGGAATGTACACACGCATGCACACACACGCATACACACACACACACACACACAAACACACACACACACACAAACCTATATAACTGTCAAAAGTGGTTTTGTTTTCTCATCTCTCTGGAGAGATATTCAAATGGGAACAACTACCATCTCCAATCATTTGCAAGTATGAAAGATTCACCTTTTTTTTTTCAGGTCATGGTGCCTGAACTCTGGGCCTGGGCACTGTCCCTCAGTTCTTCAGCTCAAGGCTAGCACTCTACCACTTGAGCCACAGCACCACTTCCAGCTTTTTCTGCTTATGTGGTGCTGAGGAATTGAACCCAGGACCTCACGCATTCAAGGCAAGCACTCTACCAATGAGCCACCTTCCGAGCCCCCCCCACACACACCTTTTTTTGTTGGTCCTGGGACTTGAACTCTGGGCCTTGGTGCTGTCCCTCAGCTCTTCAGCTCAAGGCAAGCGCTCTACCACTTGAGCTACAGTGCCACTTCTGGTTTTCTAGTGGTTTATTGGAGATAAGAGTCTCATGGACTTTGGCTTGAAATGTGATCCTCAGATCTCAGCCTCCTGAGTAGCCAGGACTACAGGAGTGAGCCACCAGCACCCAGCAAAAGTTTCTGCATTTAATGTGCTGTTCTTTAAGATCCTCAATAGAAATGTGAACATAATGAAGACATCATTCTTTTCAGATGGCAAAGGCACAAAAACACTCCTCTGTCTCCTAGTTTCCCTGCAGAGTCCTATAACCAGAAGATGTTTATGTCACCCTTGCTCTGGGCCCTTGCCAATTCATAGCAATTTGCACACCTGTGTGTACCAAGACATTGCTAATAGTATTAACCAATCTGAAGTTTCTTTCATTTAAAAGTCTACAGCACTGAGTGCTGTGTCTAATCACATTAGTAAGACAATCTCATGCTAATACGCTGTTGAAGGTATGAGGCTCACAGAAATCAGGTGCAGAATACTCATCGTAAGGGGCCGAGAAAATGATATAATCAAATACCCTCCTGTCACAGGAGACTGAAGTCTACTGCTCCACAGATTTTCCCATGCAGCATTCAATGTTTAGTGAAATGTTAGGGAAACACCATTATTCTGAACATCTAAACTACTAAAGGCTCCAAAATCTGAAATGCTTTGAATGCAGATAGGGTGGCACAGGTAGGAAATTCCATGCCTGAATTCACATCATGTGATTCATCAGTCAAAAGGCAAACTCACTAAAATACTGCATGCAATTGTCTTCAGGTCTAGGTATATATTGAAACTTTGTGTTTAGACTTCAGACATTTCCAATGTGTCTCATAATGTATATGCCAATATTCCAAAATCTGAAATCTAAATTCCTGGACCCAAGCATCTCAGATAAGGGGCAGTGACTCTGTACATACTGTCACTGAACTAGATAAAGAGAAATAAAAAATAAATAAGGCAGACACTGGTGGCTCACACCTGCAATCCTATCTACTCAGAAGGCTGAGAACAAAGGATTGATCCAATGTGAAACCAGCTCAGGGAAGGAAAATCCATGGAGACTCTTATCTCCAATTAACCACCAAAAAGCCAGAAACTGAGCTATGGCTCAAGTGGTAAAGAACTAGCCTTGAGCAAAAAAGCTCAGAGATAGCACCCAGGCCCTGAGTTTAAGTCCCAGAACTGACATTAAAAAAATAAATGAAAGAATGAATGAATGTAAACTTATCACCTCATCATTTGCAGGAAGTGAGGACACATTTTGTTCATAAGGGCTGAGTTCTGTTGGCAAATAAACTTCTAAAAGCAGGCATGTTTTCTCTTTCTTCACACATTTGTGGAAATTATAAAAGTAACTGAATTAAGAGAGGACACTACTTACATTACTTTTTCATAGGGTACAAAAGGGCTCCTTCTCTAACCGTTAAACATTTTGTATAGAAAAAAAACTATGCATAGAATTCAGTGGTAACTTAAAATCTTTCTTGCTAGAAAACTGATTGGTTGGTTAAAAAATTTATAGTTCACACAAAAAATAAGCATCTAAAGGATAATTTCTGTTGATCTGATACAAAAATGATCATTGATGATAGTTTACTTGATCTAGCCTTTGGCATTCTTTGCTACAACAATACATTCCAAAGATTAAACAAGCCCATAATCAATAATTTCTGCTGAGCTATTTTTGTTCTGTCTGTGGGTGGGTCTAGTACAGCTTGTCAGTATTTCCTCCTCCACATCCTGGCACTACTTAATTAACATAAAAAGGTTTATTCAACCCAATGCTAACAGGCAGTGAATACAGGGACTTAAAAAAATAGGTTTTTACTAATTTTTATAGTATAAACATCCATAACCATAATTGAATTTTTCAGGGCAATTCCTGTTCATTTGGTACCTGGTGCCAATTAAGGAAAATTTGTGGTTTATAAGTTGATGCAAGGCTTGAAGGGAAAGAGACACTTGGCTAGAGAACTTTGTGTGGTGTAACCAACTGTTCAGGAGACCCTACCCTGAATTTTCTATCTATCCTGTTAGCAAGGAGATAAAGTCACTATCAACACTGATTTGCTTCTTTCACATGTTATCTTACAACGCTCGAACTATGAAAATGGACTACGCAATTCAAGGGCAGCGATGGGAGGGAGGGAATGAGAGGGATAGAGGGAACAGCTACCACTAAGCAAAAAGAAAGAAATGTATATATTACCGATGTGGAAGAAATAGTTGTACTGTCAAAGCTCATAGAATTCACAAACTTTATATACTACAATAATGACATTTGCCTAATGAAGGTTAGAATGTGTTTGTGACTTGAACTATCACTATCTCACAATACTGTGAAATTTATGTCACTTAATTACAATAAAAATTATTTTTGAAAAAAGATGCATGGGCTTTGGAGCATGTTTAGGGGGTGGTTCTAGCATGATAAATCAAATATTTGGCTAGGAGCCAGTAGCGTGTATCTGTAATCCAGCCAGGACAAAAAAATCTCCAAGATTCTTATCTCCATTAACCAGCAAAAAGCTGGATGTAGAAAAGGAGGACATGGAGTCTCAAGGAGAACACCAGCCTTGAGTGAAAAAACAAAAAACAAGGACAAAACTTAAAGAGTTAGAGGCCCTGAGGTCAAGCCCCAGTATTGGCGCTCATGTGCGCACACATATACACAAGTATGTTCCCTAATATTTTATTTGGTCCAATCATTCTCAACTCAGCATGCACTAGAATTATATGGCAGAAGTTCAGAGACAATACTGATGTCTGTGCATCTAGGTCTTACTCTAGTTAGATACAAGAGTATCACTGAATCTGAATTTCTAGGACTAAAGACTAAGGCAGGAATACACACACACACACACACACACACACACATATTTATACATATATGGGGGAGGGGGAGGAGAGGAGGAGAGAGGAGAAAAGGGGAGGAGAGTGCCAGTACAGGACTTGAACTTGGGGCCTGGGTGCTGTACCTGAGCTTTTTTACTCCAGGTTAGCACTTTATCACTTGAGGCATAGCTCCACTTCCAGCTCTTTGGTGGTTAACTAGGAGTTAAGAGTCTCACAAATTTAAGACTCTACTGCCTGGGCTGGCTTCAAACTGCGATTCTCGTATCTCAGCCTCAGCAGGAAATTTTAAAACATGCACACACACTAACGACATCAACAAAACACAATCAAATGATTATAAAGCACACTAAGAGATGAGAACCACCAAATATTTAATCTAATTCTTTTTCATTCATTTTCATTCCAGCCAAATACACTCTTAGTTTTTAAATGTTTTTTTATTTGTTTTACTGTATTTTTAGACGGCAGGCTTTTCAGAGAGATACATCTTTCAATTACTTCTGGTCCTTTTGAAGCACAATACTTTGAAAGTGCAAGTTCTCAGAAATTCATGATAAAACAAAAAAGACAACAAAGGATCTAGGCAAAAAATGTAAAAGTGATTATTCCTGAGTTTGAAATTAAGGCTGATGCCCTCTGACACCTCAATTTACACTTTCTAAGTTGTTCTCTTATGAACAATACTTTTGAAAAACAATTATTAATTTGCCAGAATCCTCCAGAAAGTCCATCTGAAGTAATCATGAAGTATATACAAATCATAATTCTTTTCTTAAAATTCTTAAGTCTACAAGATGCTCTATGGTTAAGCCTTGATTAGGATTTGTTGCTAATACTTGGATCTTACAATTATTATTATTATTTTTTGTTGTTGGTCATGGGGCCTGAACCCTGGGCCTGTGCACTGTCCCTCAGCTCTTCAGCTCAAGGCTAGCGTTCTACCACTTGAGCCACAATGCCACTTCCAGCTTTTTCTACTTATGTGGTGCTGAGGAATCGAACCCAGGGTCTCAGGCATGCAAGGCAAGCACTCTACCACTGAGCCACCTTCCCAGCCCTGTCCACATGTTTCCAATGTATTCCCTCATCCCAAGTTAACTAATGATTGCTAAGTCAATATTTACATTTCCCAGGTTATTTCATGTTTATAGACACACACTGACTCATTCTTTCAGTAAATATTTATTGAGTGGTTGCTCCTTACAAACCATACTGAAGAAAGATACTGCCTTTACTCTCCCAGAGTTTTCAACCGAATTAAGAGATCACTGGGGCAGAACGTGTATTTCCAGCACAGAGAAGAAGTACTTAATAAATGCACCATAAAGGAAAATTACTTTGTGTGGGGATGAAGATCAGATACCCCGAACTGGTGACTGGGACAGCCTACCTAACTTTAGGAACTATGTAATACAACAATGCCACACACACCCCTGTTCAGAAACTCTAGGAGTGCTTGGATGGTAGAGAAAACGGCTCATCAGGAAAACGGGCACTCAAGGATGACGCCTCCCATACCTTTTCATCCAGACTGCATCCATCCTTTACCCACCATTTTAACCCCTGTCCCCCTCCACGCTGGTTTGCTCCAGTGTTCCACCGTTCTGCACCTGTAGCATCGATAGTATACGCCTACCAACAGCCTCTCCACAAACCATCGCAAACGGCCTCAAAGGTCCTGGAACTGAGACATGAAATCGCGCTGCTGGGGGAGGCAGGGCGTGGAGGTGCCAAGCCCGCCAGGGAGAAGTCAGAAGGCGCCATCTCTCAGCGTGCACTCGGCTTCTCCGGTCCCGGGCATTTCGAGCTACACCTTGGGGGGGGGGGACGCTGGGCGAAGGCTGCGGCAGAGGGACGCGGACCCCCGGATGTGCACGCACTCCCGGGCCCGGCCGGGCCCGGCACCCACCTCTCGGAGCAGCTTCAGGTCCCCGTGCTGGATCTCGTACAGTTGGATGACGCCGGTGCCCCGGGCGAAGTTGCCCATGGTCACAAACTTGGCGCTGCAGGGCACCCACTTACAGTCAAACACGGTGTAATTGAGGCCCTTCTGGATGTGGGCGATGACCTGAGGCTTCTCGAAGGCCGACATAGCCGAGTTCACGTCCAGTAAACCGCCGCCACAGTCACACTTCCACAACACAAGAACCTAGGAACCGGACGCCAAACAAGAACGGCAGTTTGTCCGTCCCGCTTGCCGTACTGCACTCCGGGCCCTTCTGCTCCTCCACGCCCCTGGCCCCGCCCCTGGCCCCGCCCCCGAGCCCGCCCCGCACGTCTTAGCTCTTTCTAACAATGCCGGATGCATCCTGCGTTCGGACCAGATGTTTTTTCGCCAAAGAAGCAAATATGTTTATTGATTCCATACGAGGACTTTCTCACGTCTGCACATTAGAGGTCTCCAAGGCGATGGCTGTGAAAATCAGACCTTTTGGGCGACGCCAAGAATCAGGCATATTGTCGGACAGGCCCGGGCAGACACTATTTTGGATTCTGTCTGCGCCCCGCCCCTCCCTGCGTGGAAGAACTGTCGGAAGGGGGCGGAGCCCTGAGGCTGATTGATGGAGGCAGGTTCCTGCGCGGTGCGCTTGCGCAGAGCGGACGCGCACGTGTTCTTACCCTGGTGTTGGCTGGCCGTGGAGATGGCGGAGATGGAGACTCAGAACGCCGGTGCCCAGGACGGCTTTACCCAGGTCACCCGCAAGGGTGGCCGGCGGGCGAAGAAGCGACGGGCTGAGCAGCTGTCCTCCGCGGGCGAGGAAGGAGGCGCCGGGCGCATGGACACAGAGGCGAGCCGGCCAGCCAAGAGGCCTGTCTTCCCTCCCCTGGCCGGGGACGGATTCCTGGTACTGGTGGCGGGGACCCGGGGACCGGAGTAAATGAAGCAGGGCCGGGCCGGGTCAGGATGGTGGTCTCCCGGCATGATGGAGCCGGGCGGGCGGTGGGGGGGGGGGTCTCCGGCTTGAGTTCTCAGGGAAAGTGGCTCTGGGAAGGGGAAGTGTTTTCTGTGGGTCGGCTGTCATTTTACCACTCCAGACATCTCTGGAGGTGTTGTTTGTTTATTGCAGAGCGGGAAAGAAGAAACACGGAAGATTTCAGTCCCAGCTAATAGATACACACCCCTAAAAGAAAACTGGATGAAGATATTTACTCCTATTGTAGAACATTTGGGACTTCAGATACGCTTTAACTTGAAATCAAGAAACGTAGAAATCAGAGTAAGAAATGTCAGCCATTTCCGAATATACTGTTTTCTCACCTACAGGGGTAGAAAGGCATGATCGGGTTTTCCTTAATAGAACTTATTCTGTTAAATGGTTTTCTTTGATTTTTTTTTAATATAGCGTGAGTTGGAACTTACCAGATACCTTCACAATATGCATTCAACACAAATTTTAAATTAATTCCTAAATGGATCCTGAAATTGTATCAAAATGCTAGCGGTGGTTGTGCATTTCAATAATGTTCTGTGCTGACTTGAAGAAAAGTAGTTAGACTGGTATACACAGAAGTAGTTAAATTATAAATGTAAGTACTTGGCTGCAGTACAGGTGCTACATATTTTCACGGTATTCTTTTTTGTCAGTCATGGGGCCTGTCTGGGCCTGGGCACTGTCCCTCAGCTCTTCAGCTCAAAGCTGGCACTCTACCACTTGAGCCACAGCACCATTTCCAGCCTTTTCTGCTTATCTGGTGCTGAGGAAGCAAACCCAGGGCCTTATGCATCCAAGGCAAGCACTCTACCACTGAGCCACCAGCCCCTCACGGTATTCTTATGAGGAGAAAATATGTGTTACTTGAGAAAAAATAGAAATTATTTTGTATATATACACTTTCTTTGTTTTTCATTCTGTAGTGTCAGTCAACTAGTTAGGTATTTAAAATTGATCTTGAACTTCCTTTTCTGGGTGTCAATTTTGTGCCAGAATTTTTTACTTCAATTTATTGTTCGCCTTTGTGAGGATTCTTAGGTCATCATCAGGATTCCTGTGGGCCTACATCCTACTGGAACACATAAACACTACACTTAAGTGGTTGGCAAAGTTTAAAAAACACAGGATATGACATTAAAACCTCTCTTTGCTTTCAAGTGGCTTTTTGGTGGTACTTCCAATATCAGCCTTCTGAGTAACTAGGATTACCACTGGGATTCATCTCAGTTTGGGTTCTCAGCATCTATTGATTCTGCCATTAATTAAAATCACTTATTAAAATTTGATTACTTTTTTTTTTAAACAGACTTGTAAGGAAACCAAGGATGTTAGTGCTCTGACAAAAGCAGCTGATTTTGTGAAGGCCTTTATTCTTGGGTTTCAAGTGGAGGTAAGTAATTCTGTAATACTGAACGTGAGGACTTAAAAAATATTATATGTGGACATTTCAGTGAGTTGACCATTTCAAAGCGCTGAATCTTTTATTACCAGTTTCGTGTATTTTTTGTTGTACAGTGCTTTCTGTGTCACACGTTCTCAGGTGTCTTTAAGTGCAAGTATCTTCACAGAGCTTTTGTATTTTAGGATGCACTTGCCCTCATCAGGCTGGATGATCTCTTTCTAGAGACTTTTGAAATTACAGATGGTGAGCATGCAGTAGTCTTCTGTGAACAACTTCTTTTTGGGTTGCTGACTTTGTATTGTTTTGTGATTTCAGTTTCCTAATACATATTGCTGTGTACACTTTTTTTTTAAAAATGTGTTGTTTGTATGGGAAGTTTAGGTAGTGATTAAACCTTCTGTGGAATGGGTGGCATTGAAGTAGCTTCCATTGGGTGGAATGGAATAGCATGCTACCTGAGGTCTTGCTTTTCTTCTTTAGTTAAGCCCCTCAAAGGAGACCATCTGTCAAGGGCAATAGGAAGAATCGCTGGCAAAGGAGGAAAAACCAAATTCACCATAGAGAACGTGACACGGACACGGATAGTTTTGGCTGATGTGTAAGTATAGTTGATCTCTAGTTAGTTTTTAAAAAAAACCTAACAATTGTTTATATATAATACTCCTGCTAACTTATTGGAAGTATGCAGCCAAAATAAAGACCAGCCTTGAAAGAGGATTACATTATCAAGAAAATTTCACTAATTGTAGTTTTGTTTAACTTAGCAATAAAAAATGTTTATGTTGTATGTGAAGATTAGTAATATATAGGCTTGAGAGGAGGGTAAGGGTGTTAGAAATGAATTTGAGATTGTCCCTCTTTGAAACTGCTCCTGACCATGTTTGCAACAACTCTGCCAGGTTGGGGCCTAGAACTCATATAATGCTATGACGTTGAAAAATGAAACAGGTGACTCAGAGACCAAGGGATCTGCTTGTAACTGAATCCAGAAATGATTTTATTAGAATTGATCCATTTACATGTATACATGTAAATTTGTATAGTATGATTTATCTTTCTTTTGCTCTAAACTGAGGGGCACAGTATTTAGATCTAAATTCTTTTTTTCTCTTTGTACCAGTCCTAGGGCTTGAACTCAGGGCCTGAGCCATGTTCCTGAGCTTCTTTTTCTCAATATTGGCTCTCTGCCTCTTAGCAACAGTGCCCCTTTTGGCTTTTTCTGAGTAGTTTATTAAAGATAAGAGTCTCATGAACTTTCCTGCCCAGTCTGGCTTTGAACCACGATACTCAATCTCAGCCTCCTGAGTAGCTAGGATTACAAGTGTGAGCTGCCAGCACCCAACTACCTCTAAATTTTTTATACTTGAAGGACAACTATAAGACTATATTGAAGGCCCTCTATCTGAAGCTATATTACCGTATTTAAGTTGGAAATTTGGAGTAACATGATTTGCTAATGAAGTTATGGGTAGACATGATGTACTACCTATATTTATAAATTCATAAATCTGTCTTAAAGTTTGCTAATTAAACCAGTTTTTAAAACATTTTGTTTTAGAATAATTCATATACAGTAAAATTTGCCTAAGTATTCAGTTGAATAAGTTGGCTAACCCGAAATACCACTCCATAGTCCCTAAAAGTTCCCCGTGTCCTTTTTATTTTATTTTTTTGGTGGTCCTGGGGATTGAACTCAGCCTCACAAGTGCTCTGCCATTTAAGCCTGCAACCCTTTTGCTTTTAGTTAATTTTTCAAATAAAGTCTGACCCTAGCTTGTCCTAGGCTGGCCTAGAATCTATATCCTTCTACTTTCTCAGTGGTTGGAATTACAACTGCATTACCCTGTCAGGCCCACGTGCACCTTTTTTATTTATTGTTTAATGTTGATTTTGGGGGCTTGAACTCAGGACCTGGGCATTGTCCCTGAGTCTTTTTTTTTCCCCTCAAGACTAGTAACTTACCACTTTGAGCCACAGCTCCATTTTCCCATGTGCACCTCCCTAGGCAACCACTGCTCACCATCACTCTGATCTTCCTTTTCTAGAAATTCAGATAGATGGAAATACGCAGTATGTAGGTTTTGATGTCTGACTTCTTTGATTAGCATATTGTTTTGAATTTCTCTATTTTATTGGTGTGCTGGTCATTCTTTTTTTCAGCGCAAGTCTGGGGCTTACTCAGGGCCTGAGCACTGTTCCTGAGCTTTTTTGTTAAGGCTAGCGCTCTATATCTTGAACCACAGCTCTACTTCCAGTTTTTGGTGGTGGTTTAGGGATTTTGCTGCCCGGGCTGTCTTCAAACTGCAATCCTCAGATCTTAGTTTCCTGAGTAGCTGGGATTATAGACATGAGCCACCAGCACTCAGCTCCAATGATTACTTTTTGTTGCCAAGTATTATTCTATTATATATTGAACTTTTTTTCTTTTTCTTTTTTTTTTTTTGGCTAGTCCTGGGACTTGAGCTTCTTTTCGCTCAAGGCTAGCACTCTACCACTTGAGCAGCAATACCACTTCTGGCTTTTTCTATTTATGTGGTACTAAGGAATCGAATCTGGGGCTTGATACATGCTAGGCAAGCACTATACCACTGAGCCATATTCCTAGCCCCACATATTGAACTTTCTATCTTTAGTCACAGTTATTGGATATGTGGATTGTTTCATTTGGGAGCCATTATGAATCATGTTGCTGAGAAGTTATTTTTTGTATCATTTGTAGTTTACAATTACAAGAAATTTGATGAAATTAAAGAAGTGTACTATCTTGTAATTTTTGCTATATATAATCTAATTGGGAATCCACATGTTGAACAATTTATATTAATTATGAAGTGATCATAAGGTGGGCTACTATGTACTTATAAATAGTGTGACAATCAGTTACTTATAATCTTGCAAAATATAGTACAATGTGAGCAAAATAGAAAAGTAAAATAATTTTCTCAATATATTTAGAATACAAAAGGGTAAATAATGTGCCTTGAGGTTTTTTGTATACAATAGACCTCTGGTATTAAACAGGTACAGGATTCCAAGGAGGCTGCCATCAAGGAAGAAATGAATGCTCAGGATATAGAGTTCAATATGTAAATTATTCAAATTTACCTGTACAATATGTGCAGTACATATGAGCATCTATAACTTGAAACCACATAGAATCAGTACATTCCTCTTACAAAAAATTACTGTTGTACACAGTAATACTGCTCACCAAAAACTAGATATTTTTTTCCTTCTCTTTACTACTGTTGATGCTAGATCCATAACACTATTCAACTTCCACTAACAACATGTCATCTTTGAACAAATCCAAAGTTTTCAATTTAATCACTTCAAGTAAGCACATTAACTTTTCCTTTGCTTTTTAGGGAGGAATATTTCCACACAATTAAGGGCAGGGAAATAGGAGATCACTATATTAAGCAAGATTTAAAGTGATGCTAATGCCAGACAGTCGAGAGTTCTTTCTTAGCTGAGCTATATACTGTATGCACAGAAATTAATTTTTTGTTGTTTTTGAAGTTCCTTTTGGGTTTTTTTAAATTGAAGTTGGTCAAAATCATTTAATTACCTGACAAGGCGAGTTTACTGAATTTCTTCCCAGCTGTTGCTCCATCACTTTGTCTTTTAGTAGCAAAGCTATTTCACATTTGTTGTGACTATTTCCTCATCCATCATGCTGCATTTTAGTTTATTTTTAGCAAAGTGAGACACGCACAGTTTGAAAGGCCAGTTATGTATGCTGTCTACCTTTATTTCACCCTCACCCTGAAGAGCCAGTTTCCTCTCTCTTAATTTTAAGAAATTATTTATCTTGAGCCAGGGACAGTTGGTGCATACCTGGGTATCAGCTCCTTGAGTGGCTAAGGCCAGAGGATCAAAAGTTCAAGACAAGCCTAGACAACATAGCATACTCTATCTCAAAAATAAAATAATATTTTCAAGTATCTTATTAACCTACAGCTTTTCAAGTTTTAGATTCAGTGGTGATTTTTTTTTAATTGTAAAAGATAAAGATTTAGATTTTTTTTTTTTTTTGGCAGTCCTGGAGCTTGAACTCAGTGGCTAGTGCTTTCTTGCTCAAGGTTAGCACCCATAACTTGAGCCACAGTTCTCTTTCCCGCTTTTTGTTGTTGTTGTAGTTAATTGCAGATAGGAGTCTGACTTTCCTACCAGGGCTGGCTTCAGCGATCCTCAGAACTTAGACTCTTGATTAGCCAGGATTACAAGCACAGCCTCTTGATTAGCCACAAGCATGAGCCACTGGCACCCAGCTGCGTAGAGCTTTTTATCTCCTTTTACTGGTGTTAAAAACACTCAGCTTTCTTTCACATCAGCTTATTCCTCCCCAGCACTACCTCACAACAGGAACAAGTAGCTGAACAGGTGAAATTCTGTGATCTCTTTCTTCTGCATCTTTATATTCTCTTGAGGAAATGAATCTGTTGTTGTTAGTTTCCAGTGCGCTAATGAAATAAAGATTTGTACATCTTCTGTATCTCCTTTTGATATATTTGGATGCATGAGATGTTTTATAAAGCTCTCCTGGAGCATTTGTTCTAAAAAACACCTCTACTATCTTATCCTTGTGCCTGCTTTCCCTATTTTACCTTTGCCCATTTGCTATTAGAATCCCTCATTCTAAGCCGGGTGCGCGTGGCTAAGGCCTGTAATCTTAGCTACTCAGAAGACTGAGATCTGAGGATTGCAGGTCAAAGCCAGCCCGGGCAGGAAAGTCGTGAAACTCTCATCTCCAATAAGCCACTAGAAAACCAGAAGTGGTGCTGTAGCTCAAGTGGTAGAGCACTCGCCTTGAGCTGAAGAGCTGAGGGACAGCACTCAAGCCCAGAGTTCAAGCCCCATAACCAACAACAACAACAACAAAAATCCCTCATTATTCTAGAGCTGAGGTTCCCCTCCTGCTGAGTTAGATCCAGTTTTCTTGAGACTGTGGGTCTGCAGAGTTTGTTCCTGCTTATCCATCTGCTTTCTTCCTTCCTGAAACTTAGTACTATCATCATCTCCTTCTTCCTTCTGGGTTTTTATCATAACTGTCATTTTGGTGATAAGAGCAAGGAAACAGCAGATCACTAAGCAAGATTTAAATTTATGACAATGCCAGAGAGCCTGAAGTAGTACTTGTATGTTCAATCTATCTGCAGGTTTGGAGGGAAGGAAGAATGTGAAGGTATGCCAAGCTGAGAATATGTCTGGCACCATGAGGAGGCCTATGGCTTCATGTACTGTGCTGGAATAAGTCAGTGGACAAGAAATAATGGGCCATGTAGTAACATAGGAACTTTGACGTTTTATCTGAGTCAGGGGAGGTCGTTGGGTGATTGTGAGCTGGAGAGGGGAGGCAGGATGTGGGAATGAGAGGCCATCAAGATTGAGTATGTCAGTAGGTTAGAGGTCCTGGAGGAGTTGAAGGACTTGGCTATTGATGGATTAGGTAGCATGAAGTGGAATAACAGTATAGGAGGAAGACTGGGATGTTTGAAATTCAAATTATGGAGGGGTTGCAGCTTTTGGTAGTGACCAAGACTAGAATGTGAAATTAGGCTTGAAAATAGGATGGAAAACAAGATCCAGTGTGTGTATAAAAGATGTCAAAGACCCAAGAGGCTAGTGTATTGGAATTGTTATCCCAGGGATACTGAAATTATCAGGCATTGTGATGGGAGTAGTCAACGCCAGTGAGCATGGAGCTGACATCTTTCAGGATGATTTGTGGGAGTGGCGGAGCACCCAAGCAAGATGAAGTAGTAGGCACTGTGGTCTTATGAGAGCAATCGAAAGCTAAATGCTTTTAGAATTGTGAATGGTCTAGGAGTAGCATGAGGAGTCAAGAAGGTCCTTGCTTCACTCCAGTTAGTGATGTGTGTGGTTCATGGAGAAAACTGATCGCAATAAGGTTGGTTTTAGTGAAAGCACAGTGATTGGAATTTTAATGGAATTTGAAGAGGTGGAAGATAAAGCCCAACAAATACTGTAGAATGGAAATAGTTGGTAAGATAGTCTCTAAAAAGCAAAATCCTGCCATAAACCTCTGTCATCCCAGCTGCTCGGAGCAAAGGCAGGAGGCTCGAGGCCAGCTTAGACAAACTAGGAGATGTCACCTCAAAAAGACAAATAAAAGAGCTGGGCATATGGTTCAAATGGCGGAGAGGTCCTGGTTCATTCCCTCCCCCCCACCACCACTACCACCAGTACTTAAAAGTGCTACCAATCTTACTTGAGTCATTCAGTATAGAAATTATCACAGGGGGCTGGGAAGGTGACTCAGTGTTAGCGTGCTTGCCTTGCATGCATGAGGCCCTGGGTTCGATTTCCTCAGCACCACATAAGCAAAAAGAAAAAAGCTGGAAGTGGTGCTGTGGCTCAAGTGGTAGAGTGCTAGCCTTGAGCTGAAGAGCTGAGGGACAGCGCCCAGGCCCAGAGTTCAGGCCCCATGACCGGACCCCCCCCCCCCCGAAAAAAAAAAAAAAGAAAGAAAGAAATTATCACAGGGATGATCCTTCCAATACTGAAGCAATTTGGTTAATTTTTATCAAGTTGTTGAAACGTGCTATAATTTATGTACAATTTTGCTCACAGTTCTAGGGTGGCTAGTTATGTAGTCTTAAATGGGTTTCTTGATTTCTGTATCTGCATCTCCCCCCACCTCCCACCTTTGTGCTGGATTGGAGAGCTTCATGTGTATTTCTTTCATTTTAAAAGTGATTTTACAGTATTTAGAGTTCTGCAGCCATTATCTCTGCCTTTGTTTCAGAGTCTAATTTTCTGGAGTTTTTAGATTTCAGGATTTAGTAAGGAAATGTACTTGTGGCTAATTTGACTCACTTCATCACTTTCAGGAAAGTTCACATCCTTGGATCTTTCCAAAACATCAAAATGGCAAGAACTGCCATTTGCAATCTCATCCTGGGTAATAATTTTCATTACATCTGTTTTATTCTCTGTGTGTCTGTGTGTCTGTCTTTGTCTTGGCCTATCTTATCTGGAAAGAATGGGGAATTGAGGAAACTCAAGCTACATTTGCAAAGCAGTGTAGGGTAATGTTAAAGATACCCAGCAGAAGTCCTTGGTAGTTAGCAAATGTGGGCCTAGAGGAAAATTCAGAAATTCTTTGCTTAGATCCTATTTATCCAAGAAAATTAGTTATATTGCTTAAATCACTGCTGCTTTCCCCTGAGAAGTGTACAGAAACTCCAGAACAGCAAGAATATCATATCCTATTTCACAAAAAAGGAAAGCTTGCTGGGCAGCTGCCTTTTTCACTGAGCCATGTATCTGGGGTATAGGACTGCAGCAGCAAACTTGGATTGTCCTCTAGTGCCCAGAGCTGACTTCTTTTTGAAATATTTTGACAATATGTATGTGTGTGTGTGTGTATAAATTACTTTTTTCTTTTAACAGGAAATCCTCCATCAAAGGTTTACGGCAATATTCGAGCTGTGGCTAGCAGATCAGCAGACCGATTTTGATTTCATATCAGAAACTTTTTATCTTTGGACTTCAAAGAAAAAAGCCCAGTGAAGCTGGGGCTAAAGTGGTAGAGAGTTAGCTTTGAGCAAAAAAGCTCAGGGACAGTGCCCAGGCCCTGAGTTCAAGCCCCAGGACCAACAACAAAAGCCCTGGCGTTCTGCAAATGTCCATACAAAACCATGTGGAGAATGTTTCAGTCACTTTTAAGCTTGGGTCCCTTCCTCCATTCTCAGTCAGAAGCATAAACAGAAAGAGAAGGTTTAGGAGTATTCACATTCAACAGCTTATAGAATAAACATCAAATCGAATACGATTATACATTAAGTATAATTTAACATGTTTCTCACTTTAAATCTCATGTAGATTTGCAGTTTAAAATCCTCCCATTTATAGCAAACTTCTTGTTTAAATCTTTCTTATGAACTTTGAAGCTTATAAATTTGTAAACAGTTGTGCCCTGTAAATTGTAATTTAAAGAATTGTCTCAGGAAACTTAGGAAGCATAACCTTAGTTAATTCCAACATTAGGTGAATATTATATAATCAGGTCATAAGCAGAAGCTTTGGCTATGAACCAACCAGTAAGTACTGATCATTGCGCTTATTTCTTTGTAAAATGGAAGACTTTGTATTGTAATGTTGATAGGAGGAAAGGTTTATTTTTTAAATAAGTATTCATGAAAGTACTCACACATTACAAATGTTGGGTATATTTCTCCTCATGACTAGTGCCTGCCTATTTAAATATGTGATTATTTTTAGAATGGAAGAAATCAAGCTTATTAAATGTGATTTGATACTGTATTCTCTTGTACATCTTAAAAACCCTAATCAAACTTTTAATAATGGGAGTTTCAAGAAAATTCAGAAGAACTAAATGAAAAAAAGTACTTTTTTAATAAGCCTCTGCTTCCTCTACATTAGTGACATGTGTTACTGTCCCAAGCTGTTTTGTACATTGCATGGGATTAGGTATACTTACACACTGTAAGGTCCTCCACGGGATGGCGAGGTAGGCTCCTCCCTTGTTGGCTAAGTCTCCACCCAGTACCTATGGCACCTAGGTCACTGGCACACCTGGAAGTCACATCATCTGGTGTGGCCACACCTTCCCTCACCTTCTCCCTGCCCTTTCCCTACTTAAACCCAGGTCTGACCTCGGCCCACCCATTTTGGCCATGCCTTTGCACCATGCAGTGGGGGCTAGCAGTTTGTTAAACTTCTCTTCCTGCCTGAATACTGCAGGTTCTCCTCTATCTGCTACCTAATTAAACCTACCTACTTTACACATACCAACTGCAAATCCAACTGAAAATCACTGAAAATAGCTCTCCAAAGAAGTGACTTCACTTTGGCAACACAACAGTATGGGGAGAGTGTATAATGTTGCTGAATTCTTTTACTAATGTTGAAATGTGGAATGTGCTATGACTTATTCTGGATTCAGTAGCACTGGCCCATTGCCACTCTGCAGAGAAAGATGCATTCAAAATCATGATGGCTCAATATTAGTATATGCTTTTTTGTGACATGAGATCCACAGGATCTCATCTAATTGGGTTTTCAAAGCAGTTGTGCTAAAGTGAACCACTGCTAGGTAAGTAAATGTTTTGGGTTGATTTCTAAGAAACTTAGGCAGACCATAATATTGAGGAAGGAAGTCTGGGTTCTCTGTCAAGGGGAAATAATGTTTGGTTATTGACTGAATTTACTCTCTTGAAGATGTATTAAAACTATAATTAATTTGCCCTTCTCTGAGGAAGTAATACTTTGAAAGGAAGACAGAAAACAAGGGATTTGACTAATTCCTGGAAGGGAATGAATGGAGAAGGAACAGAGGTAACAAATTGAACTGTAGCACACTGGTAGTTCTTAACCATCGGTATTAATCACTTCTTTAAACCCTTGTGGCAAGTCACTAAACTAGTGTCACAATCATGCTTTTGTGTCTGCCTGATCCTCTGGAAACTCAACTCCTGACATATCAGCTTACGTATTAATACACTGTCTTGGGAATAGGCATGCAAGAGGAGTGCTTTCATACATGGCTATGGGAGGAGACAAAATTGCCTCATTATTCCAGGTCTAGCCTCCAACTCATGCTCCCTATGTCGTCATGGGAGGGAAGAAAGTGTCAAGTGCAAGGGAGACCTAATTTTCCTGGTAAGAGTTGTGCTAGCCATGTTAAGATGGAACACAATCATTACTGTTAAGTATACAGTGACAACAGACAAAACACTACAACTTGGAAGATCCTTATATTGTGCAAACACTGATTACTTATTTGATTGAAGAATAGTCCTCTGGAGGTTTGAGAGAGCAAGAACTCACCAATCTTACCTGGTTAATGACCATGGAAGCAAACATATCCTAGTACTATTGAGCATCTTGTTTTGAGCCATTTGTTATTTCTTCACAATAATGTCAAGTCCCTTTGCCTGTATTTTAATGTTTTGTTGCTGTTGAGTCTTGGTTCTTTATATGTAATCTGAATGTCAACGCCTCATCAGAACATGGCAAGTATTTTTTCCCACTCCTGTAGCTACTTCACTCTGGTGTCTTACAGACTGTTAAAAACAGGTAAACCAGAGCTGAGGCTTAAGTGCATTTTTCTTAAGCTTATCCTACCATACACTCTACCATACTCTTAAGGAGCCACAGAAGCCAAGGCATTTGTGTATAGCATTGTGTGTGGCGCAGAATCTCAATACAGATGTTCTGGGTGTAAAACATCCCCAAATCCTGTAACTCATTTGGGCAAGGGCTATTATTGGGCATGTGTCAAATCCTTATTATAATGTTGGAGTTGGAAATGGATTCTACATTTATTCAACTTAAGTGTCAAGAAATAGTGACAGTACTGAAAAGCATAAAACCCACAGCCGAAGTCAGGTGTGGTTAGTCCCAAGTACATTGGAGACTGAGGCAGGTAAATTAAAAGTTCAAGGTCTGCTTGATCTACACAGTAAGACTCATGTCTCAAAGTATATACAAATGTAAATAAGGTCACAGATACACAAGTTGGGCTACCTATTCACTTATTAAATACTGAGCAAACAAAAGCTAGGTAATATTGAGAAGAATTGGGAACCATCACTGAAAAAAGATAACTACTTAGGTGTATCTTTTGTTTATAACTAGGAGAAACAAAACATAAGCCAATATTAGAAAAGGACAAATGCTAGAGAAAACAATGCAGTAAAGGAGACCCAAGTGTATTAGTATCTAAAGGCAGCCATGAGAGATCATGTTGAGCCCTGGACATAACCTGAACTATGGACTAAAGGCATTAAGTGTGGAAATCAGAATAAAGCCGCCTCAAAACAAACTAGGCACTGGTGGCTCATTGCCCTCTAGCTACTGAGAAGACAAGATCTGGAGGATCATGGTTCACAGCCAGCCCAGGCATAAAAGTCCACAACTCCAAAATGAACAATAAACAAGAAAAACTGTCTGGATGCTGGGTGCCAGTGGTTCAAAGCAGGAAAGTTCCTGACACTCTTAGCTCCAATTAACTATTGAAAAGCCAGGAGTGGAGCTATTGCTCAAGTGGTAGAGCACTAGCCCTGAGCACACGCATGCCCAGAGTTCAAGTCCTGGGACTGGCGTGTGTGTGTGTGCGCGCGCGCATGCATACACACACACACACACACACAGGAGGCATTATGGAAATGGCAAGTGCTAGCCAGCAAGCAAGAGAAGTTAAGAATAAGGACTGGAGTACAAACCCCAGTCCAGCCAAAAGAAAAATTATAGACCATTATAACTAAGCACTTTTGGGGCACATAGCCTAAGGAGTTTAGAACAATGTGAGATACCTGCATACTCAATTTATTCTGTCTTTGTCACAATAGCCAGTTTCAGCTGAACTGGCCAACAAGTGATGAATGGATAAAGATATGGTATGTACATACCATGGGAAATAGCCATAAAGGAAAATGCAGTGGTTTTCAGTAAAATGGGTGAAACTGAAGACTGCAGTAAGTTAAACCAAGCTCAAAGCCAAATTGTTTTCCTTCATCTGGAATCTAGACCTAAAAGATATACATAAGATATACATACATTCATATACATGTGTGTATTACAATGCTTCATTGTAAGACTTATGTGGAACAAGAGACAGGAAACCGAATGAGGGAGGACATATAACTGGAATGTATGTTGTCCATTTAGCAGGCATTAGGAATCTCATTGAAAGCTGAAAGCATGATAGAAGCAAACAGAACAGTATGTCAGTCTGCCTATAATATATATGCATATCTGAAACATGGTAAAACCCGTGTACATTCACTGAAGTAATGGAAACATCAATGACAGGAAAATAAATCAGGCTCTTGGGCAGGTATCAGTAGAAGGTGGGGAGAATTATCAATGAAGCCTTCCTTGAACAATTAATAATGTTCATTTTAAAAATCAGGCACAGCTGCCCACTGGCACATTTGCCATCCTTAGCTATGTGAGAAGAGTGTTCCTCGCTGTACTTCTAGGCCAGCCAGAATAGTTGCACATGCCTGTTATACTAGGTAGGGCAAGCAGCCTGAAGTGAGTGGACTGAAGTCCAGGTGCAAGCCTGGGCAAGAAAAAACCATCTCAAAAGTTGCCAGTCAGGGTTGGAGTGAGCCTCAGTTGGTACAGCACTAGGCCTATAAGCAAAAGCAGCAAGTACCAAGTTCAAGTCCCTGTCTTGGACCTAAAACAAACAAAAAAGGCACAGCTGGGCACCAGTGGTTCATGTCTGTATATCCTTGCTACTCAGGAAGTTGAGGTATGAAAATCTTGGATCAAAGACAACCAGACAAAAACCGGTAATACGACACTTCTCTAGCCAGCAAAAGCCAGAACTGGAGGCATAGTTCAAGTGTTAAGAGTGCCAGCCCTGAACCAAAAAACCAAGCAAGAGCTTGAGGCCAAGTTCAAGCCCCAGTACTACACACACATACTTTAAAATTTTTTTAAAGACATTCATTAGTCACTGGGCGCTGGGAAGCAGCAGGGGGGACAGGGTGGTAGTGCAAAGGCCTAAGGTGGAAGCAGGCTAAGACAATTCCAGAGAGAAAGGGTGGTAAGAGATGAGATCAGGGAAATAGTCGTTTGACGGAGTCTTTTGGGAGCTTGTCTTTCTTTTATTAAGGCTTTGTAATGACTACTCTTCCCATTATAAAGCACATAATTTTACCTGTGGCTTACAATGAAAGAATCAAACATTTTATCAGTTTTGAAAATACAGGAGAATTAGCTACCTTACAGCTGTGGAAGTCCAAAGACAACTAAATATATTCAAGGAAGTTTCAAATATTTTATTTTCTTATTCATACAGTATGAAGTTTTCTAAGGATCCCACAACATGACGTATCATGCAGAAGAAAAACTAAACATTCAACATAAACCACCCCCTCCCTCTCCACCCCCACACAAAAAAAAGAAAAAAGGAAAAACCCTCATTCCCCAGTAAGGAAATATTGTTTGCACTATTTTTCTGAAACGCCAGCCAGGATATGCACAAGCAAGAGAAATAGAAAGCATTTGCTAAAATATTTGTAACAAATAATTATATACAAAAAATTCACAAAAGACTAGTTCCCCCTTGAAGCAGAGCACATGGCAGTTGACACTGGAACAGATCAAACCACAGCTGGGATGTAAGCCACGTCCTGATCCAGAGGAAGAAAGTTACATGTAGTGGAGATTCAGTTTGAACATTAACATTTCCAAAGTTTGGCAACATTATCTTTTAAAATTATGCAAATTATGTAAACAAGAGGTACATTTTAAATCGATCTACATGCAAAACTCCATGTCATGCAAGGACACCAAGCACCGGGATTTCTCTCACAGACAGAGCCCATGATGTGCAGCACTCAGCTGAAGGAGCAGCAGTGGCAGGAGAGGGTGCCCCACTCAAGACTCAGTCCCCTGGACTCCACCTGCCCTACTACTCATGGTTCTAAAACCACTTGTTCAGAAAACTATAGAGGGGAAGATTACTGTCATATAAAGCTAACCAAAGTGTTTTTCTTCCAGCCAATATAGTACCTTTGCAGAAAAGGGAAGGGTAACAGCAAGTGGTGGAACATGATTTACTACTTTTATATCACACAAATTTATTGCATTATCATCCATTACCAATTATTGGGCAAACAAAAAAATGCATTCTATGCCTTGTATTTAAAAAAGTATAAATTTGGATAAAATTTTGCTCTTCTACAATGTAGATTAGCAAGATTTCTCTCATTTAAGTCACAAGTGTATGTGGATGTTTAGACACATACATGCACATTAAATAGCCCAAGTTTTTTATGTAAGCTCCAAGTCTTTTGAGACACAAGGGAAATTCATAGTTCAAACACGAGTTTAATGACAAATTATTTACCTATGTATAATGAAACAAACAATGTCCTAAGTAGTTACATGATTGCTTCAGGTTTCCTTCATTAAGTAATGCAATAAGAGAAATCATGATTGCTTCTGGCCTTTATGCATAAAATCAGGACTGGTAAATTACACTTACTCAGGGACATTTAATAAATGTTAATGGCTCCTAGTTACAGAGTAACAAAACGAAGCAGCCATAGCACTGTGCAGGTACTATAGGAATACAGCCAGCTCTTGGCAGCAGCATTCAACTATACTTTCTTCTCAGGCAGAGATGGATTAAAAGCTGCTCAGCAATGATTCATAGTCCCTGGAAATATATTCATCAGTATAAATAAAATTACAGACCCCTCTGTCTAAAAAAATGTAATTAAGGTAAATAATAGGACATTAACAAATGCTTTGTCAATCTCTCAAAGGAGAAAGCACAGGAAAATAGCTGGCCTAACACCCTGCTCAAATTGTACAATCTTCTATCTACATATAAAACTGTGTGAAATAAAAGTAAGGATGTTGTATGTTCTGCTTGGCACTTTTGTACTCTATTGTTTTGTTTCTGAATCAAGTATATTAAATTAAAGCCAACCTACTACATATATAGAAAGCTACATATATCTATATATAAATATTTACATATGTATATATAGATACTTTCTTGTTATAAAAGATGAAGAAAAATAAATTAAAAAGCCAACCCCTTCCCTTTCTCCACCACATTGATATGCTCTTTTCATGTTGCTGTCCCTTCAGACTTTAAAGTGCTACACTGAGTTATTGAGAGAGCAAGAGTTCAATAACACTTAGTTGGCTTCATGAGGCTCATGTTGGAAAATGTGGCTTCACAGAGAAAAATACTTCCATTTAAATACACAGAGAGCATTGCTGGACGTCTTGAGCAGATCTTCAGAGATGGAGAAGAAAGCAAAAGTGTTGGGTGGTACTTTTCAAAGAGTCACACATCTACCACCATCTTTTTGTGGATATCTAGGCCACCTACAACCTGCAACAGAAAGAAACAGATCCAGCTCAACAAAGCTTAAGAAATGCCTTTTTAGTAGTATCAAAAGTATAATTTAAGCCCAGCACTGGTGACTCATGCCTGTAATACTACCTACTCAACAGCCTGAGATTTGAGACTTGAGGTTCAAAGCCAGCCCAAGAAGAAAAGTCAGTAACACTCTTATCTCCCATTATCTACTCAAAAACCGTAAGTGGAACTGGAACTGTGGTTCAAAGTGGTAGAGCACTAGCCTTGAAAAAAAGAGCTCAGGAACAACTTCTAGGCCCTGAGTTCAAGCCCCATTACTGCCCCTCCCATCTCCCCACAAAAAGGTATAATTTACAAAGCATACTCTATCCATTTTTAGAAGCTAGATGTTAAAACAAAAATTGGAGTGCCTCAAGTTAGAATTTTCAAAGTCTTTTCTTGGGCAATAGGCATTGTGTGGGTTTTTTTGGTTCAATCCTAGGGCTTGAACTCAGGGCATGGTCCTTGAGCTCCTTTTTTTTTTGGTCCGGTCGTGGGGCCTGAACTCTGGGCCTGGTGCTGTCCCTCAGCTCTTCAGCTCAAGGCTAGCGCTTTACCACTTGAGCCACCGCCACTTCTGGCTTTTTTCTTTTTGCTTATATGGTGCTGAGGAATCGAACCCAGGGACTCATGCATGCAAGGCAAGCGCTCTACCACTGAGCCACCTTCCCAGCCCAGAGCTCCTTTTTTCTTAAGGGTAGCTCTCATCACATTTTGGTAGTTAACTGGTGTTTCTCCGCCACACTGCACTTTGCCACTTACGTTACAGACCAATTTCCTACCCACAGAGAATGTTGACAAATGTATATTCAGCTTTACACTAATATATTATCTCCTAAAATATAAGCATTTCTGCTGTGGATTTTAATGCCCAAAGAAGAGTTACTAGAATTTATAATTTATAATGATGTTTTGGTCCTTTTTTTTTTTTTCCGGTCTTAAGAGCTAAAGATGCTGCTGTAGAACTTTGAAATACAGTGTAAATGACTTTCATCTTTTTCAAATGAGAAACAGTTATGCTTTATTGATTCTTCCTACTGATACAATGTCTAAAATAGTGCTTGATACAAAATGCTTAAATGAAGATTTACAGAGTTGTACAGCACATAAATAGGCAGACACAGGTCTGGCATTTGCTGCCTCAGTGTTATAGATTAGTTGCAGATGTTTCTAAGTTATATTAAAACCTGTTTTGTGCTGAAGAATGATTATGAAAACTAGAATATCAAATAAATATATTTAGTTCAATTATTTTCATTGATGAGCCATTTACTGTATGAGACTTACATTGCACATTCTTTTATTAAAAGTGAATGTCAAATCTAAAGGAAAAAATATTTGAGTACTTTATTGATATAGAACCCTTGATTTTTAACCTTTATACCTTACATTATACAAGAAAAGTTTTAAATATTTCTGTATATAATTATAACATTGTCACAGGGGCTGGGAAGGTGGCTCAGTGGTAGAGTGCTTGCCTTGCATGCATGAGGCCCTGGGTTTGATTCCTCAGCACCACAGAAGCAGAAAAAGCTGGAAGTGGGGCTGAGGCTCAAGTGGTAGAGCACTAGTCTACAGCTGAAGAGCTGAATGAAGGACAGCGCCCAGGCCCGAGTTCAGGTCCCACAACCGACAAAAAAAAAAAAAAAAAGAAAAAAAAAACCCAAAACATTGTCACAAAGATACTACGTCTTATGTGCCAGAAGCCTTAAAAAAATCTTCCTATGAACATGTTGATATGATAATTATTTTCACATTGGGTATGAAGCGACGAAGGATGTTGATTTATGTGTCCATTTTGAAGAATTTTAAAAGAGTATTTGCAGTTGCTAAAATCCTGATGTTCATTCAAGTCAAATGATAGTCACTATATACAGATGCTAATATTCTAAATAATAATATATACTTACATGAAAGCTTACAAAGATAATAAAATAGTGCCTAATTGATTGGTTTCTAACTGTTCTGGAATCTAGAGCTTGTTGGTATCCTGTGCCCACTTCAAGAATGTTATTGTGGGGCTGGGAAGGTGGCTCAGTGGTAGAGCGCTTGCCTTGCATGCCTGAGGCCCTGGGTTCGATTCCTCAGCACCACATAAGCAAAAAGAAAAAAGCCGGAAGTGGCGCTGTGGCTCAAGTGGTAGAGCGCTAGCCTTGAGCTGAAGAGCTGAGGGACAGCACCCAGGCCCAGAGTTCAGGCCCCACGACCGGAAAAAAAAAAAAAAGAATGTTATTGTTCCTTTATTCCAGAAGCGTTATTCAAACAAGCTGACATTGAGTTGTTGGTCTTCCTTAAAACTATTGAAATATTTGCCTCTTTGAAAAATGTGTGAATACTTTTCCTGTTTAATAAAAGCAAGTTATGTTAAAAAAAAAAAAAAGACTCTGACTTTCTGACAACTTTTACAGGCTGGCAACCAACCTTAATTCTCAGATCTCAGCCTCTTGAGTAGCAAGATTATAGGATTACAGGCATGAGCCACCAATATCAGGCTCATTTTGTGTTTTAATACAAATGTCAACAACCTTGTCCGGTAAATAGCCACAAGTATTTTGACTTCTGAGACCACATACCCACATCTTTATTCTGGCATCCTTCCAGGAACCAGCCAACACACACACAATCACTCAAAAAAACAAAACCCTGGCTTTTTTTGCCCCAGTCCTGGGGCTTGAACTCAAGACCTGAGCGCTATCCCTAAGCATGTTCTACTCAAGGCTGGTGCTCTACCACTTGAACTACAGCTTTTTGATGGTTAATTTGGAGAGGAGTCTCATGGATTTTTCTGCCAAGGTTGGCTTCAAACCACAATCCTCAAATCTCAGCCTCCTGAGTACCTAGGTTATAGGTCTGAGCCACTGGTGCCCAGTAATCCTGACTCTTTTACATCATGGATCAGTTTTATCTGTTGTACATTTTGAATCTACATAGTTAGTTCCCTTCACTTAACACTATGTTTTGACATTAATCCATGTTGTATTCAGAAGTAACTATATTTTTATATTTAAATTGATCCTTTACAATATTTTATTTGAGTTGAGCTCATGTGTGTTGAGTTGTGGCTCATGTCTGTAATCCCAGCTACCCAAGAGGGTTAGACCTGAAAATCACAAGTCTGAAGTCAGCCAGGGCACCAAGCCCATGGAACTCTCCAATTAATCACCAAAAAGCCAGAAATAGAGCTATGGCTCAAGTGGTATAGCACTTGCCTTGAGCACAAAAGCTAATGGACAGTGCACCCAGGCCCTGAGTTCAAGCATCAGGACTGGCAGCAAATAAATATACATAAACATATAAAGTTTACTTGAAAAATACAGCATAAAAGCTAATTAGCTCTATAAACTGCAATAGAACAAGCAGTTTGCCACAATGTTTCTTTCATGAGCAGACACTGACACTAGAGATGTTAACACGCAAACAGCTTATTTGCACTTAATTCCCAAACATACACTCCTTTATATCTCTGCCTCATTATTTCCCAGTTTCTTAAGAGGTTGCAGGAGAGGTACATAACTGAGGACCAGAGGAGTCCTCATGCTGCAATGGCTTCTCAAGAGACTTTAACCAGCCCTCTTGTTTTTAGCTTCACTGTCATCTCCAAGTCATGCCCTTAATTCTTCCAGAGAATTATTGCTAATTTCTAAGCCTTTCAAGACTTTTGCATTATAAACTAGGTGGTTTCTCCAGTTTCCAAGCTGACAGTCTGTAATCTTTTCTCCCCCCCATGCAACCATGCAAATCACAAATTCAGTCACATTGTCTTTTCTGATACTCATTTTGTCCATTCAGGTTCATAATCCTCTAATTCGTTTTATTAAAATTTTAGAAAGAAAAATAAATGCATGTTCAATCTATGATCTTTAAAAAAAATTAAGTAGGCATATAGTATATAATCTTTTAAATTTACAAAAAAAAAAAAAAAAAGGCCAGGCACTGGTGGCTCATGCATGTAATCCTAACTACTAACTACTCAGAAGGCTGAGTTCTGAGCATAACAATTCAAAACCAGCCGGGGCAGGGAAGTCTGTAAGACTCTTACTTCCAATTAACCACGAGAAAACCAGAAGTGCCAATGTGGCTCAAAGTGGTACAGAACTAGTCTTAAGCAAAAAAGCTCAAGACAGGACTCAGGCCCTGAGCTTAAGCCCCACAGTGACTGACAAATTAAACTTTTCCAATCCCTTTCACTACTGTATCTTAAGGAGACAAAATAAAAAACATGTAAAGCTAATATTACAGACTTCAACAACGTTTAGAAAAGTAGGTTGTATTTGGTTTTGTTTTCATGGCATTGGGGACCAAACTTAGGGTCTCATACCTGTTATGAAAGCACTCTTTATCACTTGAGCTCTATTAAGATTCTTTTTTTTTTGTTTTGGTCAAGGTGATATTATTAAGATTTTTAAGCCATGTTTTTTAAACATGATTAATAGAAAACCAGTTCTTTTGTACTTACAGCACAGAATTCTTCAAAGGATATTCTTCCATCTCCATCCTTATCTGCATTTATTATGGTTTTGTCTACAATCTGTTGTAACTGTGTATCTTTCAGATTGTTCCCCACCATCATCTTCAACACCTGGAAGAGCTCTCCATTGGAAATATAGCCATCTTTATCCATGTCGTAGATGCGGAAAGCAACTAAAAACATAGGAAGGAAAACAATTATATGTAAGACAATCACATGTGAATCTTTTAATGAAAAAGGAAACAATAGTCAAACATCTAAAATTATGACTATGTGGATGCCTCTTTCTGAAATATAGAAGTTACCCATAGGTTTGGTTTAACATAGTTAATTATTAAGAGTATGAGGGCTGGGAATGTGGCTCAGTGGTAAGAGTGCTTATCATGCACAATTCCTGGGCTCAATTCCTCAGTACCACATAAACAGAAAAGGCCAGAAGCAGCACTGTGGCTCAAATGGTAAGAGTGCTAGTAGCCTTGAGCAAAAGAAGCTAAGGGACAGTGCCCAGGCCCTGAGTTCAAGCCCCAGGACTGGCCATAAGAGTATGAACCATGGACTCAAGATTGTCCAAGCCAGAGTATACCTAGACCGAGGTTAAGTTATTTAACCTAAAGTGGAACCCTGTAACATTCTATACTGAGCAAAAAAAAAACAAAAGTTCCAACCTCTCTTTAGGGCCGTTCTTCCAGGAAAGAAAAGGGAAGGGAAAGGGGAAAAGGAAAGGAAAGGAGAAAAGGGGAAAGGGAAAGGGGAAAGGGAAAGGGGAAAAGGAAAGGGGAAAGGAAAAGGAAAGGGAAAGGGAAAGGGGAAAAAAGGAAAAGGAAAGGGGAAAAGGAAAGGAAAGGAAAGGAAAGGAAAGGAAAGGAAAGGAAAGGAAAGGAAAGGAAAGGAAAGGAAAGGAAAGGAAAGGAAAGGAAAGGAAAGGAAAAGGGAAAGGGAAAGGGAAAGGGAAAGGAAAAATTCCTGGTTAGTCAAATAGCTAGTTTTCAGAAGGAAATTCTTAATCTCCCTCTATAAAACTAATAATACATTATTCAAATACAATAGTTGTAAATATCCTGAAGGATTCTAATTACAACATAATAAGAACTCTAACACATCTGGATTAAATCTTTTAGAATACTTTAAAAAGAAGTCTACAATGCAGTGTGGAATGGTAGTCATTTAATAAGATTGGTGTCATTGAAGAAAAATACTTACACCTCAACTTCTGCTCCTTATCTCCTTTGACACTGAACTGAGACACTCCCTCAATGAATTCTAAATAAGAGTTGAAAATGTTTACAAGTAAGAACTTTCCAATTTTAACACAGAAAAAAAACAGTATTTATCACCTTTTATATCCCAAAAGTTATTTCCTATGCAAAACAAAGTATCTCAGACTGAAAACTGAAAAATGCCTAATTTCAAACCATCTGTAATTCCACACACCTGTAATTTCAGCATGCAGGAGGGCCTAAGCAGAAGGATAATAAATTTGAGGACCTAGCAAGACCTTAACTATAAACAATAAAAACACATACCTATAAATCCTAGCTACTCAGTAGGCTGAGATCTGAGGATCATGGTTTGAAGTGAACCCAGGCAGGAAAGTCAGTGAGACTCTTATCTCCAATTACCACCAGAAAACTAGAAGTGGCACTATGGCTCAAAGTGATAGGAGTGCCCAGGCCATGAGTTCAAGCCCCACAACCAAAAAAGGAGGGGAGGGGAGAAGAATAGAAATAAAAAGAAGCAAAATTCTAAAAATAAAGCTTTTTTTCTCATTTCAAATGCAAATTCTGAACTCATCAAATGAGTACTGTTAAGCACTGTAGGCCATAACACTCAAAAACACATTCTTGAAATTACTTTTTTCTTTAGACTATTACTAATAAAAGGCTTAAAAAAAAAAAAAAACTATAGCCAGGTACTGGTGGTTCATGCTTGTAATCCCAGCTAGTCCAGATGATCCTGGTTTGAAGCCATCCCAGGCAGAAATGTCTGAAATAACCAGCCAAAAACCTGGCTGTATTATGTAGACCGCCAGCTAACAAGTTCAAGCCTCTAAGTTCAAATCTTGTAATTGCAATATTTTTTTAAGTTGAAATTGAAATGTTTTGCTAGAAACAAAAAGAACTTTGGATTTCTGTTCCAAAATTCAAAACCAATTAAATACACAGTTGGAAATTTTGTACAAAATAATTATCTTCACTGCTTGGGAAGCACTAAATTATCTGTAAATCAGAGCATTGTCACTAGTCAGCGCTTTCAGGTCGTACTAAATTATCTGTTTTAGATGCTTTCACCTACAAATCAGTCTTCCAAATTAAAAAAAAAAGGCTGTTGACAGTTTTGTAGTGAAATGTTTACTCTACGTAAAATCAAATATAAATCTAATTATTGTTAGCAAAAAGCACCTTCAATGTCTTTGTGTAATCTAGGCTCAACTAATCTTGTCTTGTTTTCTGATAATACTCACATCCTTACTACTACTATCCTTACTACTACAGGTCTTAGTATTAAAAAACAGGTTTAAACTACAGCTTCTAATATTATAAGTTGTCCTCAAGAGGGTAATTTTCTAAAAATGAGAAATACTAAATTTCCCTTTTGGGAATAGACTATTGTAAGATACCTTAACCATTTAAGGAGCAAACAGTAAAAGATCTTAGTTCATTATACATGCCATTGGTTTTGAGGTTTTTACTGTAACCTTTTACTCAAAGATCACCAAACTATAAAGACTTTTTGTAAAATCTTAAGTTTTATTTTGTATATAAAGACTACACATAGGTTATCTGTGAATTTTAAAAAATCAAAACTTTACCTTTAAAGTCTACTTCTCCATTCCCATCTGTGTCAAATATATCTATTACTCGCTGTACTAGAGGATTCTGTTGTAACTCAGGCAGAGACATGAACTCTTCCACACTCAAAGAGCCAGAATTGTCCAAATCAAGTTTCTTAAATCGCTTTCCTAGCCTTTTAATTTCATCAGCATCAACTAGAAGGAAACAAAAAATGGTAACAAGATTTTTAGAGGATTATTTGTATGGCTATTAAAAAATATCCAGCAGTTAATTACTCAATAGTTTAATTTGTACATTGGTTAAAAAGAATTACATATATAATTAGCTAATTTCTTTAAATATAGAAAGCACAACTATCTTTATTTGGTTACCTTTCAGTTTGTTTGATCCTGCCATAATATAGAAACGATTGTTTGCCCAGTGCCCAGATATCACAGGACTGAAGATGCTAAGCTGATCATGGAGGTCACAAGAGATATCCAAGGTAAGACAATGCTAAGCTCATCACCAATATCCTACCAAACAAGCTAAATCAGCTTTGCTCTGTACCAAGCAAGCCACCTTTCATTTTCACGTCTGTAAATTGTAAGTTATTTCTGATAACTCATGGTTCAAAATTCAATAGTTTCCTTCCCATCTCACCCCATGATATCCAATTCCCCTCTTGGAAAGCACTGTGAGCAGGTTCCTGAATATACTTCCAACTTCATATCCATTAATACTATTTCTAAGACTGAGCAGTGAAATACAGCTTTTACTTCTCAACCTAACAAAATTCACTGTTCAAAGCTAAAAAAGGGGGAGAGGGGAGGTGGTTTTACTTTGTACTTACAAACTAGCTACAAAAATTCAGTATTGGTCTCTTTTCACATACATTATTGAAAAAAAGTTTTAAGTCACATCATTTTGATAAAGCATGAGACTAATCCAGACAATTTTGATGGTAGCACAAAAATTTTTTAATATATAACAAAATTAAACTGCCAATTTTTAAGAGAAAATGAACAAGGCAAATGTTACATTGCCAATAATTGTATCTATGCACTATGGTCCACTGTATTAGAAGACACTGTAAGCTATTATGACAGCTAAATACATGGCATCCTTACTGCAAAAACTAAAAAATTAAGGTAAAATTACATTAAAATAATATTACTGCATTTAATTATACCACTAAAGCATTGTAGAACTACAAGTTAATACTTTGGTATGAATCAGGCCACATATAATTGACAAACAGGGAGTCATGTCAACAAAGCGTGGAGATTAAAAAGGCTCATAGAGATTTTTCCCAGTATAGATACTATTTGACTTAAAATGTGCAATTAACTCATCACAAATAGAAAATACCCTAAGCTGAAATGTACCCAATACATCTAACCTACCAAACTTCACACTAAAGCCTCACTGAAACTTAAAACATGCTCAGCACACATTAGAGTATAGTTGGACATAACCATGTGACCTAAATATTTTATTGTAAAGTGTGAACACTTCAAGTCCTTGTATTTAAAAAGCAAAGTGGTGCCGGGCACCTGTGGCTCACGCCTGTAATCCTAGCTACTCAGGAGGCTGAGATCTGAGAATCGCGGTTCAAAGCCAGCCCGGGCAGGAAAGACCCTGAGACTCCTATCTCCAATAAACCACTAGAAAACTGGAAGTGGTGCTGTAGCTCAAGTGGTAGAGCGCTCTCCTTGAGCTGAAGAGCTGAGGTACAGCGGCCAGGCCCAGAGTTCAAGCCCCATGACCGACAAAAAATTAAATAAATAAATAAAAAGCAAAGTGGTAACAGAGAACACTGCAGAAGAGAGTATTCGCCCAAGGCTGGACTGGGAGCTATGGCTTACTACACTGACTAGCAACGAAAGTTATATAGCTACCACATGCCAGTGAAAGTTTGAAATTCCAATTTCCCTGTTAAATGTGTACATTTTTCAAATTATCACAAGTCACAACTATCTGTACGTTATGATGATCAGGGGTTAAGTTTCTTCCAACGAAAAACAAAGTCTAAAATATTAAAACAGTAAGAAAATAAACAAAAAAATTTCCTTTATAGAAATTAATGACAACTTGGTGGCTTCAATATCTTCAAGGCTTCTTGAGATGAAGTTGCAAAGACTTTCTTACCACCACCTCCAAATACAATTAACAAAGGTGACTGTACACTTGCTCATCATTCATTTTTACAAAATTACTTTCTGCTGAAGCAAATGGCTTCAAGAACCTATACTTCAAATTAAGGGTTTATATTCATAAGTGTTTTAATACAAACACCAGGTAATTTGTATTTATGCCTTTAAGATTATTAGTACTCTTCTAGGAAGTTATAGAAAATGAGTAGTGTGTCCTATCACATATCACAACCAGATGTATGATTGGCAGCACAAGAGAGTTTCAGGAGCACATATTTAATGGAAGCTGTCTATTTCAAAAACCAAACATATAAACTCGTATTTTAAATAATAAAAAACTGAAATATTTACCTCCTGATCACATAAGCTAAAAAAACATTTTACAATCCCATTAAAGAGAATTCATTGCCAGTAGCTTATATTTGTAATTCTAGCTACTCAGGAGGCTAAGATCTGAGGATTTTGGTTCAAAGGCAGTCTGGACAGGCAAATCCATGAGACTCATCTCCAATTAACCATCAAAAAGCTAGAAGTGGAGCAGTAACTCAAGTTGTAGAGTGCTAGCCTTCAGCAAGAAAGCTAAGGGACAGTGTCCAAGCCCTGAGTTAAAGCCCCAGTATCAGCATAAAACAAAACAAAAAAACCTTACTCATCAAAATAAATATTCACAGTAAAACACTAGCTATACACAGCTAACCATTTTGAACACTTTTTCCACATTCACATTTTTCTGAAAAGCTATCTTTTTTCCATGCTTAACTGAGTCTTATTGTGGAAATAAGACTAGAAAAAAAAATGATGACCAAATAATAAAGTGGAAAAGGAAAAACAACATTTCTACAAAGAGCAAATCAAGATTTCTCCACAGTACATCATGTGTGATGAGGGGAAGGGAAAATGTGACACCATTAGTATTTGTAAACACTGTTAACACAAACACTTGAACAACTCAGAAAACTATTAAACAAATTCAGGCACCTGAAGGATTTTTTAGTTACCTGGAAAACTAATTGGAAACTAACTGGAAAGACAGCAGTTTACAGTTCTGAATCCCCTCACCTTGCATAAAATAGAAAATTTTGGAGGGGCTGGAAAGTATAGGTGGCTCAGTGATAGAGCAAAGTTCTTAGTATGTGCAAGACTCTGGGCAAATCCCATGATGCACACACATGCACAAACACAACAACTTTTGAGGGAAAGAATATAGAAAGAATCATAAAACATCACAATCAGTGTATTCAGTTCTGTCCATTCTTCTTTCAACTGCCACCATTAGAGCGCTAGCCTTGAGCTAAAGAGCTGAGGGACAGCGCCCAGGCCCAGAGTTCAGGCCCCACAACCGTACCCAACCCCCCCCCCCAAATCAACTGTCACCATTAACTTGTTTAAAGGGAAAAAAGGGAAAGGGAAAGTGTTACTATGTATCTCATAGTTGTATCTATCATTAAGTTTCTGGCTAAAGTCCTGGTAAAGTAACATTTTCTTCTTTTGCCAGTCCTGGGGCTTGAACTCAGGGCCTGCACATTATCCCTGAGCTTCTTTTGTTCAAGGCTAACACTCTACCACTAAACCACATTCTCAGCCTTAAGCAACATTTTAAATCTACTTTAAGTATCTTCTTAGGAAATATTACAAAGTAGTTAATTCTTATTTTAGATGAATAACCAAAACTTGCCAAGTGAAAGCCACAACAATTTAACAACAAATGAGTTCTTAAAGAGAACTTCAAACTGGTCATGGTATGTATGCCTGTAATCCCAGAAGCCAAGAGGCAGAAGCAGGATTGTCCCCGTAAGTATGACTGGAGAAAAGAAGCTCATAATGTTTCCCATTTCTACTATACCCAATATCTCATTGCAAATACAGCTCACTTGGAACCTTCTGTATCCCACATTTTTTTAATTAGCATTAATTAGTTGTATACGGGGGGGGGAGGGTTGCTTGGCATACAGTTTACCTTGATCAGATAACATGGAACTTCTTTAAGCCAGTAAAATGTAGAGGCCATAGCTCTTTGTCAACCACTCATTTATTTCATTTTCCCTTCCTTCCAGATAGGAATATAATGATGAGTAGCACACATACAATTTTCCTATTTATTATCTAGTTAAGACTAGTTGAGAAAGTACAGGAAGTACCTAAGTATCCAAAAGTACTTTAAAAACTGCCTTTTAAAGCCAAGACCTACGAACAGTAACTTTCTAAGACAAACAGTAAAAACAGTTCTTTTAGGTATTGAACAAAGTGATTTACTTTTGCCACTTGTCTTTACAGTACCAGTTACTTAAACATTTCTATTTGTCAGCAGTGGACCAGATATGTTGTAGGACTTCTGAAACATAAGCATTCCTATAAAGCAGACAGATATTGCTAAAGCAGATCAAATTAACCTTGTTAGCACCATTAAATATTTTCATTACATTCAAGGAAGATCTGTACTTGGTACCAGTTAAGTATTAAAGAAGAACTTCCAACTATTGACGCCACTTTTTATCAGGCTATTTTCCAACTGCTAAGGGTACTATTCTTGTAAAAGATGGACAAGGAAAACAAACCACCTCTTGACCAATCTTGTGACTCAGAGATACTCTTCTTTTGTGACTCAGAGATACTCTTCACATTTTGCCAAGTTGAAGGGCATTTTATTTTCTCACTCTCCTTTGGGAGAAATACCATTTTCAATAGTTCAGAATGCTTACATATTAAAATTTTAAATTATATTAGAAGTAATCTTATACTTCACATAGACTGTCATGTTAGTCATTTTATGTCATATCTTAGACAAGAAAAACTCTAGTGCTTTTAGCTTGAGCTTATAAAATATAGAAAGTTATTAATAAAGTGGCATATTACTTACACAAAACACCTTAAACTCTTACCTAGATTGATGTATTTTCAGATCTAAATATGAAATTCAAACATCTTACTAATTTTAACCCCATAAAATAATTAAGAATCTGCTTTTTGAGAATTTATGTAGCTACAATAAAGCATATTTTAAACTGCACGTTGATACTAAAGCAATATAATGCTAGCAGAGACAGAAGCTTACATATTCA